CACACACACACACACACACACACACACACACACACACACACACACACCCCCGCTGTGCTTGGCTCCTCTGGCGACCGTGAGAGACCTTGTTCTTTGTGCCGGGTTTTGGTTTTTTCCCTCAATCAAAACAAAAAGTGTGACTCGTCCTCCCGCATCTCTATTTCCCTGGAACAAAATGCATTTCACTTTTGAAGATTCCAACAGACTGGGGACAGACAGGCAGACCGAGTGGTTACTTTCCTATGTGAAACTTAAAACCACAATCTCCGGTTCACAAAAGGCTGGGTGAGTCACAGGAAGAGGCCACTTGTTTGCAGAACTCATTAAAGGCAATGTGAGGCGAAATGGATTTCCTAGGTCAATAAAGAGGTGGCTGGCCAGGGCAGGCGGCCACCTGACCAAGCCCAGGGCCTCCCTGAACCAGGAAGTCACCATTAGATAATCTAACCCCACCCTCCCCAGATTCCGCACTATCCCTCCAGCATCCAAGCCTTTCTCACCAGCTTCACCAGCTTCGGGTACAAATACGGAACTCAAAGTGATGTGTCCACCAAAAAGGTGCCTATGGTCTTCACTGGCCCTCAGTAAAACCCTGGAGCTGAGGACAGGAGGGGTGACCCCACCGGCTTGTGCCCCGGTCAGACCCTCTCTGGCACAAGTGTAAGCCAGAAAGCTTCCAGAGCGGGTCAGCCAGGGGGAGGAAGAGCCTGGAGAGCGTGCTCACAAGGACCGAAGGAAGCCGTTGGAGACAAGACTGGGGGTTACAGAGGACGTGTGACCCAGGGAAGAGGGAGCTACCCTCCATACCCTGGCTTCAAGTCCCATCTCTGACCCACACTGACCGTGTAACCCTGGGCAGGCAGACCACTTACGCTCCCAGGTTCCAGGTAGCTCTCCAAGATCAGAAGTGTAGAATTAGGGAGGACGTGATGGCTGGCTTCCAGTACACATCAGTCAGTAAATATTTATTAAGCTCCATCTACATGCCAGGCACTGTGGTAGTTAAGCAATGGGGAGACAACTACAAACAAAAACAAACATAGTATTTGAAGAACTGGATGAGGGGTCGCTTGGGTCTAGAGGACAGAATTAGTACTGGTGCATGGAAGTCATGTGGGCGCCATTTTGGCTTGACCAAAGGAAACACTTTCCAACAATGAAAATTGCCTCAAAGTGCAAACCAGCCATGAATTCTCAATCAGGAGACAAATGAGTTCCCCATTGCCTGAAGTCCTTGCGTGGAGGCGGGATGGCCTACAGTAGCAATTCTCCATCAGAGAGATTCATACCGCTTTCCAACAATCAGACCCTACCACTGGGGAGAGGTAGAGATGGAGACACCAAGGAGTCATCCACCAAGCGGTGAGCATTGAGGCTGTCAGAGGGGATGAGCTCATCACCAGAGAGTACTGGAGAGAAGGGGATCTTGGGGAGTACCCAATCTTAAGAAGTTTGAAGAGGATGAGGAGCCAAGATAAAGGAGGGTGGCCAGAGGGGTGAGAGGGAACCCTAAGCCTGCAGTAACAATGGAAACCAAGAGAGGATGGGGTGGTTCTCCCTCTTCACCTGCATCTCTTGGAATCCCTCATTTCCTTCCACTCAACTTCTTGCTTGAGAAGACCACAAGGGCCTGAAAAATGTCACTGGGTACAAGCTGTCATGTGAATTTGAGTTTCAGAGGATACATGTGGACACCATGATACATTCTAGATCTTTGGGCACCAAAGAGAGATTGAGAGCTAGAGCTAGGCTAGCCAGAGGCGGGAGGGCATCCGTCATAAAAGGAGCAGGCGTCGAGACTTCATGCTCGGGTCGCGTCCCATAGGACTTTTGGACCAGAAACAAGGCCTTGGGACTCTGACTCTCTAAATTCCACTGTCCACCTGCTTCATAAGGGGCGGCAAGTGCCTCACAGTCTTCTTGAGGCCATCCGGCCCACGGGACAATCCCAGATTCTCCCGATAAAAATCCAGGGGTCAGGCAAGGTGCAAGCTCAATGGAAGAGATGCAGAGAAATGGGATGAGGCAGGAAAGGGAGCGGTGACTTGCCCAGTGTCCCCCAAGGAGCCAGCATGGTACAGTGCCAACGACACTGGACTTGAGGATCTTGGTTTGGATCCCAGCTTCACCATGTAACGTCTTTGGATGAGTCTCCTCACCTCTCTAGGCCACATTCCTCCTCTAGAACCCAAGAGCGCTGGACGCCATGAGCTTTGAGGTCCCTTCTGTTTCTATAGAGAGAGCTGCAATCCGGACACATGTCCCCTGGCTTCAATGCATCACTTCCACTACTCTGGACCTCTAGCCCTAGGACAAGTGTGCCCCATGCCTCAGCCCAATGTCCTTCGAACATGACAGGACTCAGGTCAACCTGTTCACTCTCAGAACAGAAATCCTCCCCAAAAGACCCTTCATAATTAGCTGGTTGTGATTTCTATACCCCCAGGACCAAACTAATTAATACATGCTAGAGTCCCTTGGGCTCCAAAAAAAATCTTCCAAGGTCCCCAGGTGCGCAGTGTGGTACATTGGAAAGAACCTAAGATTGGAAGGCAAAGTGCTTCTGAGAAGAAATTTGGTTGGTGTAGTGAAGAAGGCCCTGGGCCTGGAGTCCAGAGGATCTGGGTTCAATTCTCACATCAGATCCCAACTTGTAAGTCATCTTAACCTCGATTTCCTCATCTGTAAAATGAGGGGTTGAGTTTGTGTCCTTTTACATCCCTTAAGGCTTGAAGTCTATGACCCAGTGACTAGCTGTATGCCCATAGGCAAGTCACTTAACTTCCCCCAGGCCTCAGTTTCCCTATTTGTAAAATGGTTAGATGACTCTTAAGGTCCCATTCAATTCCAAGTCTAGATTCGAGGATCCAGATTGGTCTGAGAGTGAAGCCTGTGTAGATCTTCACATCCAAAAGAGAACAGAGAATCCACGAGAACAGTTTGGTTGTCTTGGAGTTAGAATGGTCCCTGACTTCCTTCTTGCAGGTGTTTCAATAGAGTAGGGCTGCTTAGATACTAGTTAATGGGAAAAATTATTGTTTTCTTATTATATTAATAATCAACCTTATATACGGGACCCAAAAAGGCTCCTTTTGCTTGCTCCTCCAAAGACAGTCTCTCAAGGACATTTCTGACCTTGCCCCCAAATTCCCTCCACCCCAACCATCTTGTCTAGGGGGAATTCTACCTGTGACCCCACCATAGTCCTACCCTGGTAGGACTGGGTGGAGAATAAATTCTTTTGTATGGATTGCTGGAGGCAGAATGATTCAGGGAAAATGCTGACATAATCAGTCACCTTCTCCCAGCCCCTCATGAGAAAAAGCCCATCTCTCATTTTACTCTATTCATTCTATCATTAATTGGGGTTTTTTTTGAATCATTATTAAATTTTCTTTTAAATTTATGGAATAAAACAAGCATTTTTCTTCCCTCTCCCCTTCCACCACCACCCCCACTACCCCATCATTAATTGTTAACCAATCACAGAATAAAATACTTAACATTAGGGTATAGGGAACTCCTGGGTTCCTAGAGGATATCCCTACAGCCTGTATATTTTAGAGGAAAGACTCAAACCCAAGTTTTCCTGGCTTCAAGGGAGGTCTCTAACCAACTAGCCACACTGCCACTGGGAAAATCACCAAGAACCTTTCACAAATGGTTTAAAAATCCAACAGACGTGAATTCCAACAGCTTCCTCCATCACTCTTATTTATTGTAAATAAGTTTTCTGAATTTGCATCCAGCACAACAAAATGAAGTATGACAACGATTTGGCTTATCGCCGCACCACTGCAGACACACAGTACAAATACTGGACACACCTAGGCCTGGGCATGGGACGCCGGGGCCCGAGAGGGAAAGACCCGTCTCTCTGGAAGCTGGAATCGTTTCACGCCAACGGAACGGGGGTGTCAACACAGCGAGCGTTGTATTCTTTCCTCATCTGTGACGGCTGCTTTGTCGACTTTGTGCTTCAGATCAGAAAATCACGTTCCTTGGGGTGATGTGGAGATGCTTGTTCTCAAATCCACCACGGCAGGGCATTGTCATAGTTACCACCATTTTACCTACTTACAGGCATGGACACGCACTGAAACACACATTTATGTGTGGACTATACACATATATATATACAGGGATGTGTATAGATGTGTATGGATGTATTACACGTATATGCACACCATACGTATACGCATGCACTTACAATGCACATGTGGAGATGTGTGCCTATGCATGGGCATATGCATATACACACGTGTGCCTGTTACACAAAGTATATAATATACTTGTTATATATTGTAATATATATGTATATAATACACACATTCTCATTTTCTAAAGTATCAATGTAACTTGAACATTAGCTATCATTATAATTGTTTTCCTAAGTGCCCAAGTGTTTACCTTAAAGATGAAAAACCTCCCATATTAATCACAGAGTCTCCCTACTTGGCAAGGGTAACATGCCACTTCCATGTAGACCGCCCAAAGTGCCATGCCCTTGAACACCACTCTAAATGGGGGGTGATACAGGTTGAACCCTGACAAAGTGACTCTTGGGGGTAAGGTGTGAAGGAGCTGGGATGAACTCTTCTTGCCCCCAAGGTTGGATGGGTTATTACCTGCCCTTGAAACTTCTCTCCACTACCCCATGGTCCAGAAGCCTCGGTGTCCTTCAAAAGGTCTTACAAACCCAACAGGGGCAAATGCAGAACCAGGAGCTAGGGGTCGAAATGCCCACCTGTATTTGTCTGTGCATTTGGTAAATACAACAAATACAGACACCTGTACGTTTGTGAGGACCCGGGTGTCTATACAAACCACTCATGGTGGGAAAAAAGGGTTCTTTCTGGGAGAGAAATCACCAGAGTGAAGGAATATCTATGGACTTTCTTTCACAGAAAGAATAAAGACTTCATTAAACCATCCCCAAGGTTTCTCTCGGTTGTCTAATAGTGCAATTGAAATAGGAAAAGCATTCCCAGCTACACAAGTAAAACTTTCTTTAAAAAATATATATGTTCTCAAAAATAGGAAGCTCAGTCTCGTCACCAAGGCAGAGTTCCATTTCCCAAAATCTCTTCCCTGTGAGCCAGCCGGATGAATGCTGGTGCTGAGCAGGAATGGCCACCTCCCTGCCACAATCAAAGAAACCCAGATCTGAAACAGGATCTGATTTTAACCAACTGTTCATCCATGGGGCCCCATAATTGAGGGGGAGAGGAAGAGTTTAAGACAAGATGTGTTGCTGTGAAATTCTAGAGGCTATGGCTCTTTAGATGGAAAACTGAACAATGGCTGAGCAGCTATTTCTTTTTTAAAAAATAATATTATTTTTGATGAATTCAGGATGCTCACCATCCAAATGACTACAGAAAGAATCAAGCCAGTATGTTTATACATGAATACAAGGAGGAGTAGAAGATGCCATGAACCACACCTACAAAGAACGCAATTTAATGTTCTCCTCCAAAGACTTCAAACAAAGCAGGTTTCCTTTAACAGCGTCGAGAAAACGACCGTCACCCTCCTTTGGCATACATTCAGTTCAAGGCCACGTTTTTGGCACCAGCCCTTTCCCCAAGGGCCTCAGTTATCCTGTGTGCTGAAGAGAACGATGGTAACAAGGGAAATATTGCACATGGCGATCACAGGTAAAAGTAGCCGTGACGACGGCCTGAGAACCTCGGCCCCCAAGGCCACCATGTGTCTCAGGACATTCAGACGGCACTGGCACCCATTACAGACACATTCCAAAAAGAGCCTCGGCTCCACGGCACTAGGATGGGACCCTCCCAGAAGTGGGTGGTCTCCAGGGAGGGTGGAGCATGGGGGCAGGAGGAAGAAAAATAAATATGCCAAGTACATAGCTAAGTATTATGGATACAGAGGAATCAGGGTATCTTTCACAGAATACAAGCATGGAGAACTTTTCACTGACACCCAGAGATTAGAACCATGTGAAAAGACACAACCAAAGTTCAGCCCCAGAGAAAATAAAAATACAACAGAGAGAACTTCCTGAAGTAAATGCCCTTTCCCAGCAGTCGGGGTAGGACTCCCTTAGAAGAGGCCTCTTCCCTCTGACGTCACTCTTCCAAGGTGGCGAGATCTCTTTTGGCTCAGAAATAAGCCGCATGGGATCCATGCTGCTCTGAAATGTTCTGCCCACTTTTCACAAGCACGGAACACTTCTGATTTTGCTGAGTAACACTGAGGTCTGCATCAAAACAAAAACAAAAAACAACAAACCTTCTAGCGAGTCATTCTTTGGGTTTGTGAGCCCGCGTGGCACCAAGACCAATACTGGCCATGGCAGGCTATTACACTGTGCCCTTGTCCCTGGCCGGGTCCAACCAACAAGGAAGCCTTTCTACACAGTGAATGAAGCAACATTCTCCCAACACTTAAAACAGACTTGTCCTAAGTTACTTAGAAACGCTGTTTCAAGGGGAAGCTGGGCGAGTTGGGGTGGGGAGGGAGAATGAAACATTTCTAAATTTTTTAAGCAAGTGAACACAATGCCCCAAGTTCCAACTGAGCTCTTCACTAAGCCTATCCTTTAATCGGAGGTTGGCAAGTCCTTTGCGTTGATGTCACAAGGCTGTCAGTACGTGTCAGCAGAGGCTGAATGGATATCCTGATTTTCAAAAGGGGGTAAGGGCTCTCTCCAAAAAGTGAAGTTACTGAAAGTGTCCGAACAAGGGAAGTCTGAAGAATGGCTTCTTTTCAGCAATGGGAAAACGTGGTCAACCACCTCACAGAGTCTCACGTAACTGGGAAGAAAGCAGACAGGTCAATCATCACCACATGACGATGAACGTGAATCAATGATAACAACAATAAAAACACCTCAGGCGCTTTACACAAATTCTCTTACTGCATTCTCGCAACAACCCTGGGAGGGAGGCGCTATTTTATCCCCATTTTATAGATGAGGAAACGGAGGCTGAGAGGGGATAAAAAATGAGATCACACATCTAGTAACAGTCTGAGGCTGGATTTGAACTCGGGTCTTTCCTAGGTTCCAAATCCTACACTCCATCTACTGAGCCACCAAGCTACCCTTAATTACCCAACTGATCACAGAATCAAAGAATGTTAGGTGAGGTCAGGCTTAAATAGCAAAGAATATGTCAGGCATGGTGCTCACTGTCCCAAGAATGCTGGGCTTGGAGATCTGAGTTCAAATCCAACCCCTGGCCCTTTCTAGGAGACCTCAGCAGAGGGGCTCTCCCTTTCTGGCCACAGTTTCCTCATCTGTAAACTGGGGATCACTGCACCAGCTGGACCTACCTCACAGGCTTGGTAAGAGCTCACGTTTAAAATGTTCCAAACTGGAAGGTTTTTCAACCTTCAAACGCTGAGCAAACATCAGCAAAAGCTACACTGGGATCACCGTCATCTTCCACCCCAAACACCCAGAACATGAACAGCTCATTCCCAGTGCCGTGCATTTCTGAAGGTGGAAGGGCCTTCCGGATCAGGCAGCGCCCCCCCCCTTTGACAGACAGAGGAATGGAGCTCCTAGGAAGGGACAGGTCGCCGCATCTCACTTCAACGAACTAATCCCAGAATTATTCTAAAATCCATTCACAAAAGAGCAGATGTTTACATGTGTTTAAAGGTTCCCAAAGTGCTTTACGGCCTTCATCACATTTATGTCTCAGAGCAGCCCTATAAGGTAGGGTTACCCCATCTCTTTTCTTTTTGGGGGGAGGGGAGCATGGGGCTGTTGGGTCCCATGATTTCTTTCATATTGGGAACTTCCAGTGTGGACATCCACTCCTCTGGTGCAGATCTCCAACTGGCCCGTGATTTCTCCTCTCAACAACCTAAGGCTCAAAGAGCTGGTGACTTGCTCACAGTAACCTAGCCCATGGGTCACAGGCAGGTCTCGGATGCTAGCGTTCCCAAACCCACGGCCAGCCCGATCTCTACAATGCCACATGGCGTCTTTCTAATCAAGAAAGATTGTGCTCAGTATTGTCAGGGATGCAAAGAAAAACTGATGGATGGATGGATGGATGGATGGATGGATGGATGGATGGATGGATGATGGATGATGGATGGATGGATGGATGGATGGATGATGGATGGATGGATGGATGATGGATGATGGATGGATGGATGGATGGATGGATGGATGATGGATGGATGGATGGATGGATGAATGACTGAATGCACATTAAGGGCTCCCTATGTAAAGAGCACTGTGCTAAGTGCTGGGGTCCAAAAAGAAAAGCCAGACAATCCCTGCTTTCCAGGGGTTCCCACTCTAATGGGAGATAGCCCCCAGGGAAGGTTTGGCTACAAGTCAGACGAGAAGGTCCTATGATCTTCAGGAACAAAGGAGGTGCTCAGGCCTTCTCTTCAGTGTCATCTCCACTGGTAAAATCTGCCTGTTTCTGATGCTGCCCCACCCGGCGTGGCCCAGGGCTTTTTCTGGAGGCCAGCACCTTCCTTTCTGGGTCTTCCGTAGCTGTGGCTGCAGCACCAGCAGGAGCTGTCCCCAGCCTGCTTCCCAAGATGATCCCTGTGGGTACTGGGCTGGAAGTATTGCTGTTCCCAGCTCTCAGGTTGAGGGTCCTGGCCAGAGGGAAGATGGCGGCCCAAGCGGAGGTGGAGGTCTGACCTGCCCGACACATGCTGCCTCCTGGCTCTCCCTCATGGCGTTCTACGCGCCTCAGCCAGGCTGACCCAGCTGCCCTACAGGGGGCAGTGGGTGAGGATTGCCATCAACCCCCTCCTCCATGGGAGCTAACTCCTCAGATGATTGCTGCGGGTGCTGAGCCGAAAGCAGGAGCCATGGTCCAGCAATGCTGACACCCCCAGAGCCAGAAACATGGGGGAAGAGCCCAGCCCTCACCCTGTCTGCCACTAACTAGTACCACGGCCAAGAGCAAGTCCCGTCCCCCTGGAAGTCAGCATCTTCATCTACTCTCTTGGGCCTCAGTGTCCCTCTTAGAAAACCAATTAGGATGCACATCTCCTCCTACAACCCATGCCAGACCAGAAGTACCTCAAGGGCAGGGACCATCATCTCCTTATCGCTTCCTTTGCTCTACCCTGGACAGACTCCATCTGGGCACCCATTTTAAAGAGGGCATGGTGAGGAGCACAATGGTGAGCCAGTTTAACCTGGAGAAAACTTAGCAGAGAAGCAATAACCATCTTCATGTATTAAACCTGTGCTCGGCCTCAGCGCCCAGAGCTAGGAAGATGGTGGCAAGTGAGGCCAGGCTCATCATGAGTCACAGGACTCGTCAGAAAGAAAACCTTCCCCCAACTGACGGCTACCCAAACATTGGTGGGCCCTGGGACCCCTCCTCAGCAGCTCCTGGGGCACTCTAGGACCTCCGTTGGGGCTTTTAAATCCTTCCTACTGTCCCAGCGTTCCCACACCTGACTGCCCTCCATGAGCTTCTCAGTCCGATGACACTGGCCTCCTGGCTGTCCTGGCTTCCATCCTGGCCGCCCTCCTCTCCAGGTTCCACCTTCATCCTCACCCTCCCTGGGCTCAGGACCATGGCCAATACCCCTGTCCCTCCTCTTCCACCAAGTGAGGAGCTCTAGCCTTTAGGCTCTAGCCTCTCCTCTCCCGGAGCTAACGTTCCCTGTCCTGAGGTCCCCCCATCCAGCGCCCATGTTCTCGGTTCCACAGTCATTCTAACGGGCAGCTCCTTTAGCTCAGATTCACCAGAATAATTAGGGGCAGAATCACAGGAACGGGGGTTAAATGCCCCACATTCTCTCCCCCCAGAACCCGGTGTCAGCGGCTGTGACCAGGGAGCCCCCCGAGTTCCTGCCAGAGAACGGACGGGAAGTGATACTCACGATGAGATGTTGGTCTTGGCGTGTTCTTGTACCAGTTCTCCTTTGGGGTTGACGGTAAATATTCGATTCAAGGTCACGCCCACTTGCTTGTAAGAGTACACATCCTAAAGCATGAGTTCAAGGTCAACGAAAATCCCATTAGACAAGGAAATAAACTCCACTCTGACTGTCAGGTCAGTCAACCAGCAGTTAGGAAGCACCTACTACGCGCCAGGCACGGTGCTAAAGGCGGGGCATACGAAGAAAAGCAAAAACGGTCCCCGCTGGCAGGTAGCTCCCCGCATGAAGACTGCGCACAAAACAATTCCCTTGCCCACCACCTGGCTGCACAGGCAGCTGAAGGGTCTGGAAGCACCCCCAGAATCATCTGCCACTTTCCTGAGCCCGACCCCACCTTTTCCAGCTCCCACTCAGTCATCTCTTCCAGGTCCCTCTCACTTAGATGTTGATACAGAAAAATATTTTGCAGAGACTTGGGTTCAAATCCTAGCTCGGATGCTTACTGCCCGTGGCCAAGTGCCTCGGGCCCCCTCCCCACGCTAAGCTTTCCCAAGAAGACAGTCGCCACTGTAACAGCCACTCTGCTCTGCACAGCCGTGGATGCTCACCGCAGGCCGGTTCCCGAAAGCAGCATAGAAGGGATCCGTGTTTGGAAGAAACAGGTTTTTGATGTCCGTCAAACACTGAACTTTAAATTTCTCAGGCTTCTTTTCGATGACCTCTCTGTGAAGAGAAAATCATAATGGAGGGCCATCGGTTCCGAAATAGCACATTGGCCACTCGCTGGGAAACCAGCATCCTGATGGAGGTGTCTGGTCTGGACCAGCTCCGGGCCCTGCAGAGGGAAGAGCCTTCAACAGCAACCAAGGGGGATGAAGCGTTTTCTACACACACGACCCTGGGCTTGCCTTTGGGGGTACAAGGACCTCCTGCCCCTCACGGAGCTTACCATCTAACGGCAGGGGGATACAAAATCGCCAAAAGTCAGGGCAGGTAGGGGCCACCACAGCCATCTCGTCTGACCCCTACCCTCTCTAATACAGACCCAGAGCTCACCACCAATTCAGTTCAATTCAATAAACATGTATTAAGCACCTACTGTGTGCCGGGGACACAAAAAGAGGCAGTGCCTGCCCTCAGGGAGCTTATAGTCCTTCCAAGACAGCCCCATTCCCCTCTAGGACAACTCTAGTTATTAAAGAGTATTTTGTGGAGGTGGGGGTTACGGTGTGGAATACTGTCTACAGTCAGAAATTATTAATGTTGGCTGGTTTGGCTGAATCAATTATCCTTTCCTGGTAACTGTGTACTGAGACGAAGCACGGCCTGGTGGATACAAAGTTGGCTCAGGGCCCAGAAGACCTGCGTTCAATTCCTGACGTGCATTAGCCAAGTGACCAAAGGTATGTCACTCCACCTCTCCAAGGTCCCTGCCAGCACGCATGGCTGGAGGGAGCTCCCTCCAACGGGAACTCCCCAGGCCCAGGAAATGACAGAAGCAAGGCCCTCTCCTAGATGAAGAAAGGCTCGGGGAGTTGAGAAGGGAGGAAGGAGCTCTGCGGAAATGAAGATGATTACAAAAATAAGGCATATACACACATATACATTTTACTCAATACAAACATTTTTTAAATAAAATACCACTGAGTGCAAAAAAAAAAAACCCAACTAGATAATGCCTTAATCAGTGGGAAGAATCTGACTCATATTTCTGAGCAGGTGCAATAGATTAAAATTTAAAAAAAAAACCTAAAAAAAAACTTTTTTAAAGATATTTCATGAGGGGAAAGAGGTGTCCTTCGGCCACTGCTGGACTTGGAGTCAGGAAGCTGGTTCAGATCTCGCGCGTCTGAGCCTCAGTCTCCCAATCTATGAAATGGAGACTATCGTGCCTACGTCCTCGGGCCCTTACAGTACCCTGCAAACCTCAAGGCGCTGTGTCGAGCGCCCCTCAGTATGCCGAGTGGGAGGGCACAGAGCACCTTGTCTCATGGGATTTCTAGACCAAAGAACTCCTCGCAGACCATCCACTGAGGGCTGCAGCCAACCCCACTGATGACCTGGATTTCTCCTTCAGTTTGCTAGCCACGATGGCTCTTGGGTGTGGGAGCAGGTAACCGGACCAGACGAAGCGTCCTCTCCTCTGGAAGCATGTGCTTGTCCTTTGGGCTCTGGCGCTGGAGCAAGGCGCGCAGCGGCAGAGACCCAGGGACCCTCAGCAGCAAGGGCTGCCCCCGGCAGGGGAGGGGGGGTTCACGCATGTCTGCGGCCCAGCAGGGGCTCTGGACTGACGCTTTCAGACACAGAGAGAGCAAGACAGCCAGAAAGCACTGGGATGTGCGCGTGCATGTGTGTGTGTGTGTGTGTGCGTGTGTGTGTGTCTGTGTGCGTGTGTGTGCATGCGTGGGTATGTGCGTGTGAGTGTGTGTGCGCGCGCATGTGTGTCTGTGTGCGTATGTGTGTGCGTGTGTGTGTGTGTGAGTGTGTGTGCGTGCGCATGTTTGTGTCTGTGTGAGTATGTGTGTGTGTGCGTATGTGTGTGAGTGTGTGTGCGTGTGAGTGTGTGTGCATGCATGGGTGTGTGCATGTGAGTGTGTGTGCGAGTGTGTGTGTGTACATGAGTGTGTGTGCGTGCGCATGTGTGTGTCTGTGTGAGTATGCGTATGTGTGTGAGTGTGTGTGCGTGTGAGTGTGTGTGCATGCATGGGTGTGTGTGTGTGAGTGTGTGTGCGAGTGCATGTGCATGTGTGTGTCTGTGTGTATGTGTGCGTGTGTGTGTGTGTGTGAGAGAGAGACAGAGACAGGGGGAAACAGAGAGACAGAAGGAGACAGAGACAGAGAAAGAGAGAGGGAGAGAGAGAGACAGAGAGAGAAACAGACAAAGACACAGAGACAGAAAGAGAGAGAGGGAAAGGGACAGAGAAGAGAGAGGGGAAAGGAAAAGGAGGGAGGGAGGAAGAGAAAGGGAGGAGAAAGAGGAGAGAAAGAGAGAGAGAGAGAGGAGAAGGAAGGGGTGGAGGGAGGGAGAAGGAAAGGGAGAGACAGACAGACAAGGCCATTTCGGGGGGGGGGGGGTCTCCACAACACTGGGCCAGGTAGAGCCATGGAGAGCCAGCCCTTCCCAGGAACATGGAGCCGCCAGGCCCCTCAGCAACCCCACTCAGAGCCAAGGCAGCTTTGTGGGGAGAAGGTAAGGAGCATGATGGAGGGTCCGGGGCCAGTTTTCAGCTCTATGACAACAGGAGATTCCCTTTCAGCTCTGGCTGCCCAGGTCCCTCTGACCTCTGAAGGGCATGAAAGGGTCAATCCCCCTTTAAAAAACAATCATTGATCTAAATAATTGGAAAAACATCAGGTGCTCATGAGTAGGCCCAGTTAATATAATAATAATGACAATTCTACCTAAGCTAATTTACTTATTCAGTGCCATACTAATCAAACTACCAAAAACTATTTTATAGCAAAAAGATTCATCTGGAAGAACAAAAGGTCCAGAATATCAAGGGAACTAATGAAAAGAAATGCAAGGGAAGGTGGCCTAGCTGTACCAGACCTTAAATTGTATTATAAAGCAGCAATCATCAAAACTACTTGGTACTGGCTAAGAAATAGAGTGGTGGATCAGTGGAATAGGTTAGGTATGCAAGACACAGTAGTCAATGACTATAGTAATCTACTGCTTGATAAACCCAAAGACTCCAGCTTCTGGGCTAAGAACTCACTATTTAGCAAAAACTTCTAGGAAAACTGGAAAATGGTACAGCAGAAATTAGGCATAGACCAACAGCTTACCAGCATACCAAAATAAAGTCAAAATGGCTAAATGAGTTAGATATAAAGGCTGATACTATAAGCAAACTGGGAGAGCAAGGACTAGTTTACCCGTCAGATTTATGGAGAACAGAAGAATTTATGACCAAACAAGAGATAGAGAACAGTATGAAATGCAAAATGGATAATTTTGATTACATTAAATTGAAAAGTTTTGCACAAACAAAGCCAATGCAACCAAGATTAGGAAGGAAGCAGAAAACTGGGAAAGAATTTTTACAACCAGTGTCTCTGATAAGGGCCTCATTTCTAAAATACAAAGAGAACAAAGTCAAATTTATAAGAATATAAGTCATTCCCCAATTGATAAATGGTCAAAAGACATGAACAGGAAGTTCACGAAGAAATTAAAGCTATCTATAGTCATATGAAAAAATGCTCTAAATCACTATTGATTAGATAAATCAACTCTGAAGTACCACATCACACCTATCAGATTGGCCAACATGACAAAACAGGAAAATGATAAATGTTGGAGAAGATGTGGGAAAATTGGAACACTAATGCATTGCTGGTGGAGTTGGGAAATGATCCAACCATTCTGGAGAGCAATTTGGAACTATGCCCAAAGGGCTATAAAACTCTTCATACCCTCTGACCCAGCAATAGCACTTCTAGGGCTGCATCCCAAAGAGATCATAAAAATGGGAAAATAACCCACACGTACAAAAATACTTAAGAGCAGCTCTTTTCGTGGTGGCAAAGAATTGGAAATTGAGAGGATGCCCATCCATTGGGGAATAGTTGAACAAGTCGTGGTATATGAATGTAATGTAATATTATTGTGCTAGAAGAAACGATGAGCAGGCAGACTCAGAAAAACCTGGAAAGACTTGTATGGTCTGATGCTGAGTGAAGTGAGCAGAACCAGGAGAATGTCATACACAGTAACAGCCACATTGTGTGATGACTAATATTGATAAACTTAACCCTTCCCAGCAATACAAGGATGTAAGACTTCTCCAGGGGCCTCGTGATGGAAAATGCCATCCAGAGAAAGAACTATGGAGTCTGAATGCAGATCCAAGCATACTATTTTCTCTCTCCTTTTCTTTTGTTTCCTCTTTCTTGTGATTCCTCCTATTGGTTCTAATTCTTGCTTACAACATCACTAATGTGAAAATATGTTTAATAGGAATGTATATGTAGAGCCTATATCAGATTGCCCACTGTCTTGGGGGGGGAGGTGGGGAGGGAGGGGGAGAAGATTGAAAACTCAAAAGCACATGGAAGTGAATGTTGAAACATCACCTAGCTCTCCCAGCCAAGGATGAAGGCAGCTTGAGGCCACCACAGCCTCGGGGCAGAGCCCCCAGGACCCCCTGGAGCAGCCCAACCAAGGCTGGAAGGGACCTTGGGCTTCCTCTAGCAGAACTTGTTCACTTTACAGATGGGGAAACTGAGGCCCAGGGCCGCGATTCAAGCCCAGGTCTTCTCACCCCAGAGCCAACATTCTCTTACTGAACTGAAATCTGCCTACAGAATGCCCAATCACGGCACCTCTACATGGAAGGACTTCAAGGATCCCAAGCCCTCCCATTCTATTCTGAGCCCCCTAAAAGCCTCCCTCCAGGCTTTGCAGACAATCACAGAGCCAAGACTCGAACACAGATCCTAGGAGGAAAGGCAAGGGGGCGCTGGGAGGCTAAGGTTTGGCACTAAGCACCCCCCTTCCATCCGCTCCTCCAGCCTCCTCTCCCCATCATATGTGTGGTCCTCGCACCCCCCTGGAGCCTTCCCTAAGGAGGGTCCCTCGCCCCCCCACTCTCGCAACGGTGCCCTAAATCAGAGTGCACGAGCGAGGCCAGGGGCTCCTTCCTACCTGTGCAGGGCAGAGAACAGGCTGCTGGGGCTGAGCAGCAGTGGGCCCTGGGGCAGCACGGTCCCCCGCTCGTTCACCCAGTGCAGGTAGCCTCGCGTCATGTCCGCCATCCCGATGGCCCTCGCCGAGCAGTAGAGGAACTTGTAGCCATTTCTGCAGGAGGGCGAGAAGGAACCAGGCGGTCACATCCATGACCCCCACCCCGGGACGGCCAGCACAGCTCAGCTCCCACTCCCACTGGGAGTCCAGCTGCCTCTCCCAGGCTAATGAAAAGGGAAGGGGTGGGGGCAGCGGAGAAGGTTTCTTCACAAAATCTCCAGAAAGCACAGCACTTATCAACAAGCATGTGTGAGCACCTACTGTGTGCAGAGCCCTGGGGAACAGCTCTGGGGTGAGAACAAAGTCTGGATCAGGCCCAGCCCTACCTTGTATGGAGATGTGAGACATGCAGAGATGTGAGATAATCAATACGCCATACCTACTGATGTCCATGGTAAATAAAACGAGGCCCCTTAGCAATAACAGCTGACGTTTCTGAGTGCCTAAGCTTTGAAAGCATCTTGCGTGCTCCTCTCACTGATCACCACGGCGATCGCGGGAGTAGGTGCTGTAGCTGCCCCCATTTCACAGATGAGGAAGCCGGGGCTTACGTGACTGCTCAGGGTCACTCAGCCAGCAGCACACAGCAGTCACCCAGATGACCAACACAGATCAAAGAAGAAGGGAAGGAAATCCTGGGCTCCCTACGGTCCCGAGAGCGGAGAGTGTTCTGGGTGTAGGTGTGGGGAATGGCCTGGTCAGGGGGCAGGGCCGGGCAGGAGGGGCCCTGAGCTGGACCCCGAGGGCTCTGGGCCTATTCCCAGCTCGACCCCAGGAGCCTGCTGAGGTCAGGCCAGTCACTCTTCCTGGGCCTCAGTTTCCTCACCAAGAAGATAAAGGGGGTAGAGGGGCAGCTAGGTGGTGCAGTGGATAGAGCACCGGCCCTTGGAGTCAGGAGGACCTGAGTTCAAACCCAGCCTCAGACAATGATACTCACTAGCTATGGGACCCTGGGCAAATCACTTAACCCAGATTGCCTCGCCAAAAAAAAAGGAAAAGAAAGATAAAGGGAGTAGATCAGGGGATGTCTACAGTCTCTTCAAGCTTTCATGGCTTATATTCTAAGGCCCCTTCCAGCTCCAACATCCCTGGGTCAACTCAGTTCAAAACACTATTTATTAAACTCCCACTACAATGGGGAGGTCTCCTCAGGAAAAAAAAAATCTAGCAACACCACTTTTAGGCTTAATCAGCATTATTAACACTTTCTTAAGTCTTGAAGTCAGCCACACAATAAGCCAGCCCTTTGTAGGATTCTCTGCAACTGCCCATTCCTGAGGCATAAATGCTTACACTGGACATTTAACAATCAGCTCTCACCCGAGCCAGTTCAGGCTGGCTCCCTGATAGACCCTAATGATCTTTGCTCCAAGAGCCCTGCAGCTCAGAATTGTAACGCGTAACACGGAGCACTTCAACCTTCCCAAAGCGCCCCCCATCTCTGCTGATTCTCACGACACCCCTGGGAGGTAGGGGCCATTTTCATCTCTGTTCCAAGGCCCATCCCAGGTCTGACGTGCCAAGAATGGCCGAGGCCTATCCTCAGACACTGATTAGGAGCCCATCTGTGCATGGCCTCAGGCCAGGCACCGGAGAAAGCTCCAGCCCTGCTGAAGACTTACAAGAACACCGAAAGGATGTGAAGGGCCAGCCAGGCACAGCCCAGGTGGGGTAAGGCCTCCAGGCAGGGAGGGTCATCACAGAACCTCGGAATCTTTCCCAGCCAGAAGGAACATTGTACGGTCTGATCCACCCTCAAAAATCAACATACCGTTTAAGCAGTCATCTAGCATCCACTTGAAGCCATCTAGTGACGGGGATCTCACTACCTCCTTGTTGTGAAATTTTTCAGAACTTCAAGCCTAAAACGGCCTCTTTGAGACCTCTACCCACCAATCAGTCAATCAATCAATCATTCAATCAACAGATATTTCCTAAGCACCTCCTACGTGCCATGAACTGTGTCCCAGAACAAACCTTTGCTTACATCCTGACTACTATACCCCACTGCTGAAAACCTGTGCGGTAAAAGATCCGGGGGCAGTGAGCCCATCTGCTCAGGAAGGAGACACGGAGACCCGGCGGTGACGGGAGGCATCCTCCTCCAGCACGTTTTCCTCAGAGGCAATCTGTGCCAATCCACTCCAACGGCCTCTGGAGAAGTCATCTGGTAAGCCACCTTCAGCTTAAAACAGCCGCTGAACCCACACAAGGGACCGCTCTGTCTTCATTCCCCGCCCAGGAGAGGGACGCGTCATCCTCGAGAGTCAAAAACTGGCCCTGCCTGACGTTTCTGACTTTGTTCGTCCAACCTCTCGGTGGTGCACGGGCACTTCATTGTGGACTTCACACCGGCAGCCACTCCTTCTGGTGACTTGGCATTCACGATTTGGTTCTCATTGGTTCAGTCGCTCGGCAAACATGTTAAAAACACCTTGGAATGCTTCCCATAGATCACCCCTGGGCCCGGAGCGGGGTCCTGCCTTAGAACCTTGAACATCCTTCAAAATTTCAGCTCCATGAGACTCCTGGTCCCCTGAGAGGCTAATGCCCCTCCTCCCCCACTGACCGCGTATGTGCCATAGCCCTCCCCAGCCCCAGGACACCACAAACTCCTTGAGGGCAGGAACCATATCCTGTGCCTCTTGGCACTTAGTAGGCTCTCCCTCCATATAAAAAAAAGATACATATATATATATATATATATATATATATATATATATATACACACACACACACACACATATATTTACATACATACATACACATATACATACATATATACACACCTAGCATGGGGCCTGGCACACAGTAGGCACTTAATAAATATTTATTGGATTACATTAGATAACTCTTTTTGTTGTGGCAAAAAAATTGGAAACTGAGTAGGTGCCCATCACCTGGGAAAGTGCAGAACAAATTGGAGTACAGGAACATGGCAAAATGACCAAGAGAACGGCTTCAGAAAATGTTTGTACTCACAACACACTGTGAGGACAAACAACTCAGAAAGACTGAGACTCCGCGGGGGGCCGTGAGAGACTCCCCCCCTGACAGAGCGGGCGGGCCGCGCCCTCTCACAAAGAGGCGATGGCCATGAATGACAGGAAAGTGCTACAGGAATGTTAGTTATTATTTTTAAGAAGGAGATTGCAGGGCAGCCAGGTGGTGCAGTGGATAGAGCTCTGGCCCTGAAGTCAGGAGGACCTGAGTTCAAATCCGGCCTCAGACACTTGACACTCACTAGCTGCGTGACCCTGGGCAAGTCACTTAACCCCTATTGCCTCACCAAAAAGCAAAAAAAAGAAAAAAAGGAGACTGAGTTTTTTACATAGGCAAGGCAGGAATCTGTTTTGCTTGACCATGCATATTTATGACAAGAGGTTTTTTGTTTTGTTTTTCTTTTTTCATTGTGGGAAAGAAAATAAATGACTATTACTTGGAAAAAAAAAACATTTTAATTTAATTTTTTTAAGACAGACATCACACACAGAGCATTAGCTATGCAGGCATGCTGACACCAAGGAGGGGTAAGGGGGAAAGGACCAATGCTTGAACACTTACTGGCTGACTTTATGATAGAGCTTTGCAATCCCTTGGTGCGTCCAATCCTTGCCAAGCGTGGGCAAAATATGCCCTAACGTGTCAGATCTAGGAAGAGAGGAACGAGAGAGTCAAGGGAGAGGTGAAAGGGGAAGGAGGTATGCTGTCCAACGGTCACTCACCCTGGCAAGGGTTCCTGCCCTTTGAGCACAGGTAACCAAGCTCCCACCCCCTTACTCACCCAGGCAATTCTCCTTCTGGCCATAAGGGTAACGTGATCAAATGTACACCCTGCTACAAGCAGGGTGCATCCATCATGCCCTGAGAGGGAGCAGCCAGCAGCAACACCGGACAAGCATCTCTGAATTGGGGCTCCTTCAAGAAATCACTGTGCCAAATCACCAGGATACACTGAGAGAGAAGGGCAGCCCCGGGGCCCCTACCTCAGGCAGGCAAGCACGTCATTTGGTGGACATACCGTGTGATGGTTCCATCAATGTCAGAAATGATCACTTTGTCATCCCAGTCCCAGAGGTAGATGGTGCCTTCACAGCGGCAGGTGCCCTGGTACTGGGTGGTAACGCTGAAAACCACATCGTTGGGACCGTTCTTTAACTTTAAGCTTTTCTGAAAAACACCAGGGGCACGGTTATCAATCAACCAATCATCCCACAAGCATTTATTAAGGCCTACTGTGTACCAGACCCTGGGCTAAGAATTTAGACACTGAGTGAGAAGACCTATGTTCATATCCTGTCTCAGATGCTTATGAGATCTGTGATTCTTGGCAAATTACTCAACTTCTGCCTGCCTCAGTTTCCTCATCCGTAAAATGAGGATAATAATAGCACCTACCTTATTCTTTATAATAAGAAGAGTTCACTGAGAGGAGAAGAGGGAGGGATACATTAGAAAACACAAGGGAATTGAAAACAAAAGTCATCAATAAAATTTACTTTAAAAAAATTCTAGAGGCAAGATTCAAACAAAGGGCTACCAGGTACAGTGATTTACAAATGAAAGCAATATGTAAATGTTAGCTCTTAAGAAAGCCCGAGGAAGCTTCCAGGCTCCTCAGTTCCAGGACCAGAGATGGAAGAAACCAGAGTCCAAGCCCCCATTTTGCAGATGAGGAAACTGAGGCCCACAGACATTAGAAGGCCATTCTGAGAACAGAATATGTAAGGAAGCATTTAATAGAAATTAAAGCCGTCCACAAGATGAATGGGTTACATATGTGTGTGTGTGGGTGGGTGGGGTGTGTATGAGAGAGAGAGAGAGAGAACAGAAGAGAAGGGGAGAGGGAGAGACAGAGGCAGGGACACAGACAGGAGGATCCCAATCACCAGAAAGTGTCGAGTGAAGACCCGGGGGCCACTTCTACTGAGGGGGGGCCAAAGATGGGGGGGGGGGGGAGTGTTCAAGTCTCCTAGAGAGGAGTATTCCCATACCAGGGAGGGGCGTAGGTGAGCTGTCCTCACACTGTCCTTCCAGTGGAATTCTGACTGCCTTCCCCTCCCCAGCCCCCCCCCACCTTCCCCCCGGTCTCCCTGTGTCCATCTTCTCTTCTCTCTCTCTCTCATTCGTAACTTGGGGTCCGTGAATTTATATTTAGACAGACAGGCAGGCAGAGAGCTCCTCTATCCATCCTCCCGGCTGTCCCTGGCACAAACCACTCCTCGTCCCCCACCACGCCTTTCCTCTTCCCCTCCCCCTGGCTTCCCTGCCTCCTTCACCTTCCAGCTAAAATCCCACCTTCCACTGGAGACCTTTCCTAATCCCTCTTTATTCTAGCGTCTTCCCTCTGGGGATTACTTCCTACTTCTCCTGGGTAAATCCACGTTTGGTTTTGTGCACCTCCCTGTTCTAGTGTGCGCTCCCTGAGGGACGGGACGGCCTATGGGCTTTCTTTGGATACCCAGTGCCAGGTACACAGTAGGAGCTCAATAAATGCTCATTGGCTTCCATATAATCGGTTTCCTTGGTACCCCTGCGCATTTCCTTTCTGCATGTCACAACACGCTTCGGAGGGGGCTCTCGAGGCCTCACCAGAATGACCATCGGGACAGTGTCCTGCGTGACTACCGCTATTTACCATCTACACGGAGAGGAGGGACGAGGGCAGACTCACGAGCTGGTCCGAGGTGAGGCGCAGCGTCTTCTTGTAGCTGACGTTGGACATCAGAGCGTGGAGGCTGGCGCTGGACTGCTTGGCCGTGACGGAGTCCTCGTCACTGGAGGACGACTCATCCTTCATCCTGGAGGGGCACAGACACCCATGATGGTGGGAGCCCGGAGGCCTCCACCAGGCGGGGCCGGGGGAGTGAGGGTGGGGAGGAGTGAGACCACCTTCCCCCCCACCCCGCTTGTCTCTCTACAGACTGGCCCCCATCACTGCAAGAGAATTCTGTAACGGGGAGGGCGCTGACATTAAATAATGAATGGAAAGCTCTGTGGACTCAAGAGGTCAAGCGTCCTCCAGGGTCATCAAGACCAGCCCCCCACCCAAGGCAGCAAAGCGTTTTCTGGGCCTGAGCAAAAATCTGCCTCCCTGGACCCAGAACTAAGGGATCTCAGAGCTAGAAGGAGCCCTGAGGCCGCTGAAGACCTCCACCCCTGCACCTGACGGAGTGTGGAGGGGACAGGGAGGAAAGAAGGCCAGGAAGACCTGCATTCAAGTTCTGCCTTGGTCAGTCAACAGCAGCAGTAGCAACAACGCACACCCACCAGCACTGACACAGCTCGCTAAGGTTTCCCAAGCACTAGGGAAGTGTTTCACCTTGGTCATGCCCCGAGAGACAGGTGCGTTATCATCCTCATTTTACAGATGAGGAAACCAAGGCAGTCAGAGGGTCACAAAGGTCTCAAAGGCATGTGGGCTGAATCCAATAAGAGGGACACGAATGGGGACAGACGTTAATTGTCACACTTGGATCGAACGGGCCAACTTCCTAAGTACAAGGCAGGACAGAAATCTGTCTAAAGAGCCCACTGACCGGCTCACTGAACATCAAGCCCAACATGGGACATGGTCAGCCAACATTCACATCTTTCTTTAAGTCTGCAAAGTGTTTCATGGAATCCTTACAGCTCTGACAGGAGAGTGCTATGATCTCTTTATAGATTTTTTTTTTAACAGTTTACAAATGAGAAAACTGAGGCTGAGAGAAGGGATCTGTCCAGGGTCACACAGCTAGGAAACGGAAGAAGCAGGACGCGAACCCAGGCGGGTCCTCCCAACTCCATGTCCGGCATCCTCCCCGGCAAACCACGACGCAGCACAGAGCGCCAGAGTGGAAGGGACCTCTGGGACATCGAGGCCAACCCAGACTTGGACAAGCCTCCCCCATGAGGGGTCCGCCGTCCAGGGACAGGAGCTCGGTGCGCCAGCCCACTGCGGGCCAGCTCGCCCCAGCAGAACGTCGTCTCCTTGAGGGCAGGGGCTGTGAGTTGGTCTCCCTGGTGCAGAGCACACTGAGCGGTGCCTGGCATCGGTGCGTGGATGAACCCTAAGGACGACCCTCTGGGCCTGAAACAGTTCAAAGCCTGCTTGTCTGAGACGCTCGTCCCCACAGACCATCGATGGCCAAGTGCACGGGCCAGTCAGGAGGCCTCGGCTTCAGCCTCACCCAGCTGGAGGACGCTGATATTCTGGTGAAACACTTAGAAGCGGGAAGGAGAGCGGCGCTGGCGGCGGCAGACGGATGGGTGCCTCTCTCCCGGGACGCCAGAGCAAGCTGTCTGCTCCGGCCATCTGTTCTCCTGAATTCCTGTTTTTTCAGGCGAGGCCGCATGATGTCCTGTCAGTGACAGAACCCAGTGAGAGAAAACACAGACACGGGGGCTGATAAGCGGTGATGTGCAGCCGGCCGTCGGCTAAGGCAGAAGCCACGTGGCCCAGGCACACAGGGCCTTGGGAGTCTGAGGACCCAGGTTCAAATCCTGGCCACTTCCACATCTTTCAGCCACCTCACGTGCCCCCTCAAGGCCACAATCTCTTCAACTCTACAAGAGGGAGTTGATCTAGGTGACTCTGGAAAGGTCCCTTCCCAGTCTAAATTAGACCCCCTGGATCAAGTCCCAGCTCAACCAAGTCCTAGTTGTGTGACTTTAGGAAGGTCACTACCTCTCTCTGGGCCTCAATTGGATTAGACGATCTCTGAGGTCACTTTCCAGCACAACCATGACCCCATGTTTTGTAGGATCACAGTAGCTAAGTCTGTGCCCTTGCTCCGTGAAGAAACCACTTACTATAAACTTGGCAGCTTTCCCAACATCCAGGCGTCGTTCATGGTGTTCTGCACACAACAGGTGATTAATAAGTGTTTACTGGACTGAACGGTATCATTGCCCAGGGAGGAGTTGGACCAGAAGCCCTCTGAGGTGCCTTCCAGCCATAAGACCCCCTAAAGATCAATCAATAGATCGACAGGCATCCATTAAGCACCTACCATATACCGAGCAGGCACTGCCCTCAGGCAGAATCCTGCCATGTGGAAATCTCTGCGCTCAGACTCTCCGCCTGACAGTAGCTAAGTTTGAACTTGTCACAGTGCACATTTTAATGGCATTTTAATTTATTTGGATGGTGATGAGCTGTTTGTTCAATTATAGGACTTCAGGAGGTGTTCTGTCAGTCAAGCCAGGCAATTAGGGAAAGCCTCCAACACCTCTTTTAATCTGCTACATGAACCTGTCATTTCTTCAGAAGACGAGGAGCCAGGAGCAGCTGCATTAAGTACAAAGCTTTTAAATGCCCCCCTCCCCCTGCCCCTTTAATGAACAAACCGCTAATTCTTGACTCGTTTTCAAAATAACACCAATTCCAAATTCCTTCTGCTTTGTGGAGAGGAGCGGCTACCCAGATGACCCCAAATGGCAGACAGACAGAAAAGCCGTTGACCTTTGGAATGGCTTTTCCAAGAATCACAGGATCTCTGAGCTTGGAGGGAGCACTGGCTCTGATCCATCCTGGACCCAGCACCCCCATGACGGCAGCCTGCACAAGTAGCCATTCCCAAGGCCACCCGCACCATTCCCTCGTGCTACTCCTGACAGGTTCTCCCGACATGAAGCCAGACTTTGCCTCAGAGGCCAAGCAGGACAAGGGTCACGCCTCTTCCAGATGATAAGCATTGATTCAAACCCATGAAGACTGCTCTCACAGCCCATCGTGGCCTTCTCTTCTCACTGCACATCTTCCTCCTGCCACCGTGCATTACAGAAGGGCCTCCTCATCGCCCTCAGGCAGCATTACCCTCACTTCCAACACACATCGATGAACCTCAGTGGCCAAAGACACCAATATTGACCGGCGGGATCAAAACACACGCTCGAACTTCTCCGTCAACTTGGAGCGAACTCACTCTTCAGGCTTTTCTGCCTCCCTCCCCTCTCTTGGAGCCGCTCAGTTACCAAGTTCTGGTGATTCTACTTCCTGCAGAGTGGATAGGGCTGGATCCAGAGGTAGAAAGAGCTGTGCTCGAATCCTATCTCAGACGCTTTCTACCCGTGTGACTTCTCCAAATCTCAGCTTCCTCATCTGTAAAGTGGTGACAATGAGAGCACCTACCTCACGAGAGGTAATTCTGAAGATCCACTGACCCACCAGAAATTTGCCAAGCATCATGCTCCTCATCTCCCACTGCTGGACCTTTGTACTGACTGGAACCTCCTCCTTACTCACCTGTTTCTCGTAACCCCCAGCTCCTTTCAAGGCTCAGTACAAAGGCCACGTCCTACCTGAGGCCTTTATGGACCTTTACTGTCCCACCACCATCCCCACATGCAAAAACAACCTTTGCATTTATTGTGAGTGTATATATATCTGTATACATAACATAATTTATGTACACACATATGTGTATGTGTATGTGTGTGCTGCATTTATTTATCTGTACACCCTTATGTTGACTCCCCACCAAGAGAACATAAGCTCATCGAGGGCAGGGACTGTCTCCTTAGGTTTAGGTTTGTTGGCACATGGGAGATTAAAACATGTTTGTGGATTGACTGATTGATTCCTGCCCTACCTCCAGAGCTGGAGGCCAGGGATTGTTCCATTTTTTTCTCTTTGTATCCCCAGGGCTCAGCACATAGTAGGTACTTAATAAAGGTTCACTGAATTTAATTAAAATGAGGTCATATGTATAAAGCGCTATAGAAACACAAGTTTTTTTTCATTATTGGTATGCCCCCATCTGTCCCCTAACTATTCCCATTATGCCTGCCCCAACCCAAATGGGCATCACCACCCAACCTGATTACTCTGAGAGCACCCTACGAGGCTTCCTCCTCTCTCCTTCCCAACCCTTCCAGAATAATCATCTTTATAGAGAGATCTGCTTGCAGTTCTTCAAGGGCTCCCTGTGGCCTACCAAGTTAAGTTCAAATTCCCTTGCTTGGCACTCAAGGCCCTCTTCATTGGCGCCATCTTCTTTCTCTATTTCCTTTCTCCCTTTACACGCCAGTCAGATTGGATGACTCCTGGCTTGGTACCCCCCATCTCTGTGTCTGTAATCATTCTATTCCCTGCCCTGGCAATGGCCTCCCCAACCCATTTTATCAATTAAATTCTTGCCATTCTTTACACCTCAACTCAAATGCACCACCCCCACCCCCACCTCCAGGAAGCCTTCCATGATTCCTCTTTGGCCCTTACATAGAATTCTGTTTTACAACTTTCAAGTGCACTCATCAAATAATACTGTGTCTTATAGCTAAGTGGCATAGTGGATAGAGTGCCAGGCCTGAGTCAGGAAGACCTGAGTTCAAATCTGGTCTCTGACACTAGCTGTGTAACCCTGGACAAGTCACTTAACCTTTGTCTGCCTCAGTTTTCTCATCAGCAAAATGGAGATAATAATAGCACCTACCCGTCAAAGTTATTCTGTAAAGCACTTAGCACAGTGCCTGGCACTGTAGTGAATGCCATAGAAATGTTAGCTATTGTTATTGTTGTTGTCATAGCTCCCTGTACGAGCGCCACACCCTCCATTAGTCTCATAGACCAAGTCTCTTAGATTGCGTCGGCAACCCCAATTCCACCCCCACCCCACCCAGGGCTAAGTACAGCGCTCTATACATGGCAGGTGTTAAACAGATATATGGAGCAAATGGATAAATGAATGAATGAATCAATCAGTCAATCAATAGCAACTGATCCTCACCCTAATCCTGAGACAGACAGGCAAAGATTATTATATCCATTCCACAGTTAAAGAAAACGATGCCCCAAAAAGGAGAAAAATTGTTCAAAATCATATGACTACTAAGTGGTAACAGAAAAATACACAGCTGTGTGATGTTCCTTTGATGGACAGAAGAATTGGTCCCATGTCATTAGGGATGAAATCAGCTCACCGAAAAGGGCCACTGTCATTAATGTCTCAGTTGGGTAAGGTCTAACCTAACCACTGCTTTCTATCCCAAGTTAGTTCAGGTCATACCTGCTTCCAGCGTTTAGCTTGGATGGCTGCTCCCCAATAATGAGACCCTTTCCAGACAAGCATTGCTCTGGCTTGCTTTCCTAGAAGAGGGGTGACAAACAAGAGTGAAATTACATCAGACCAAAGGGGAGTTTGTCTATGCGAGAGAAGACAAAGAACAGGTGAACCTTCCATAAGAACACCAGGAGGTGTGAGGAACCTAATCCATGCTGCAAGAAAAATGCCCCACGGGTTTTCTTCCGAAAAAAAAAGGAGAAATCAAGGGGATTTCGAAACAAAGGACACCAACGAAAATTTATCTTTTTTAAAGAGTGTATCTGCCTATTCCGCCCCCCCATGAAAGTATCACAGGAATGGCCAAAGAATCTTAGGGCCATAGATATAAAGCTAGACAAGAGAGCCAAGGTTCCTGGGTCCAGGCCCCTCATTTTACAGATGAAGAAACTGAGGTCTACCCAAAAGAGATTAAGTAATGAGTGGTAGACTCTAACCCGTCTACATGGGCAGCAGGGCGGCACCGTAGATAGAGCGCTGGGCCTAGAATCGGAATTCAAATCCAGTCTCAGACACTTACTAGCTGTGCAACCCCGGGCAAGTCACTTCAGCTCTGTCTGCCTCAATTTCCTCATCTGTAAAATGGGGATAATAACACCACCTACCTCCCCAGGCCTGTTGTGAGGATTAAATGAGATGATAATTGTAAAGCACTCAGCACAGTGCCTGGCACATAGTAAAGTGTTATAAAAATGTTAGTTTTCATCATTATCATTATTTATTGTAAGGATCAAATGAAAAAGTAGCATTTAGCACAGTACCTGGCACATAGTAGGTGATTAATAAGTCTTTCCTTCCTTCCTTCCTTCCTTTGCAAAGGTCACAGGAAGTGGCACACAAAACCTTTCAGTGGATCCCATATATCCACCAGTGAAGATTGCAGCCCTTTCACACCTTTCTCTTTGCATAGGTCTTGCCCTTTTCTCTCTGTAAATCCTCAAGGGAGGACCCTGGAGGCCTCTGCCAGAGACCTGAAGTAGTGAGTGGACACCGGACCATCTGTTTCTTCTACCAGCCCACTATCCTTTTGAGCCAGCTGGGTGCTCACAGATGCCACAAACATCCCTTCTCACACTCAAGTCATCACCTCCTCGAACTGAGAAAAGGGCCATCAATAGGCGAGGCCTCTGTGCCCTCACCTCCCACTCACTTGGGACGCCTTGGCTTGACTGAAACTGCTCTCCCCAGGTTAGCAGCAATTCCCTCACGGCTCACGCCAATGCCCTCTTCTGGGTCCTCACCCTTCCCGGCCACCTGGGAGCTTGTGACCGTGTTGGCCAGGCCCTCTTCTTGGACACTCTCTTCCCTTGGCTCCTGGATGCTGCTTCTCTTCGTTCTCCGCCTACGTGTCTATGCCTCCATTGCGGGATCTCCATCCATCTCATTGGCTCCAAGCATTGGCCTTCCCCAAAGCCATTGCATTTTTTCCCCCTAAATCCATCTCTTCTCTCTGCCAAGTCTTCCATTTATGCCATCTCTCAAACAGGTCCCTTTCTCACCTCTCCCAGTCTCCTCCCTACTTCAAGCCTGCAGCCTATCACCCCTTGACTGGCTTATGTATCAGCCTCCTAAGGAGTCTGCAGGCTCCTGGCCTCTCTCCTCTCCATCTCCTCTCACTCACCTGTCAAGAGAAGTTTCCTCGTGATCCCGCTACTCAAAACCCTTCAGAGGCTCCCTACTGTCTGTCCTGGCCAACCTGCCTCCCACCGCCCTCTCTGGATGTATTTCTCCCCATCATGTTCTCACCCTGGGCTTTGGAATGGGCTGGCCTGCTTGCAGAGAACTCTTCTCCTCACCTCCACTTCTTACCATTTTTTCAGGCTCAGCTCTGGTGTTCCCTCCCAAAGCCAGCCTTTCCTGATCCCCCCTCCTTTACAAGGCTCTCTCCTCCCTGAAACTACCTTTATTTACTTATATATGTATACATGGACGACTCCCTACCAGTAGATCTATAGGGGGCAGACACAGTATTAAATTCCCAGTGACCAGCCCAGTGCCTTGTATATACTAAGTGCTTAATAAATGTTGTTGAGTGAGTGGAAGGTAGTGAGCACCCTGCCTCTAGAAGTCTTCAAGCAGAAGCTTTATGACGACTTGCCTAGGATACTGTAAGTGGGGCTGGACCAGAAGACCACACCAAATTGCATTTTACTGCCCATCTCACAGGAAGGACAGAAACCCATTTTGCATACTTTGGACCATAAAGAAATGGAAATTATTCAGTCAGTCAATCAATAAACATTTATTAAGTGCCTACTATGTGCCAGGCACCATGCTGAGTGCTGGAGATACAAAAAGAGGCAAAAGACAGTCCCTGCCCTCGAGGAGCTCACAGTCTAACGGGAGAAATTATTGTTCTTGGCTCTCTTCTGAAGACCCTTCACAGGCTCCAGCTGGCTCTGGATACTGCAAGGCTATGCCAGGGATGCCCAAGCTCTGGATTTTCAGCAAAGCATTGGAGAAAGATTCTCCTATCTTTATGGGAGTGGAGAGAAACAGACAGAAAAAGACAGAGTGACCGTGCACTTAGCATGGTGCCTGGCACATAGTAGGCACTTAGTAAATGCTTACTAACTGACTGACTAGAGACAGCAGTAAGAGACAAAGAGAGACAGATGTGGGCCAGCCCAAAACGAATGAATGACCATCTACAGTGAGAAATCATTAATGAGGCACTATTGGCATAGAAAGAGGTCTCTAATAGAACGCCACAGAGATCTGTCCTTTTCCCTGTGCTGTTGAATATTTTTCACCAGTGCCTCGGATAAAGGATCCTGGTGCAAATCTTATTTCAAATATCTACAAGCCATCTGACCCTCTCTCTGGGCCTCAACTTCTCAATCTGTAAAATAAGGGATTGGACTTGAAGACATCTAAGATCCCTTCTAAGGGCGGTTATTTGTGATCAAACACACTCTGCCAAAGGCAACAGCCTGGGGACAGAGGTCCAGAGTCCCCTCACCTGGGAGCCAACTGCAGATTTTCCAGGCTTGCTTACCTCTTTAACTGTGTTCCGTCCCCTCCACGAGAACCACCATCGTCCTCCCTTCCGGGGCATCTTGTCCCTCACGATGGACTCCACCGTGGCCTGTTGCAAATGGATGGAACATAAATAACAGAACCAAAAAGGAAGGACAGAGCATTCCATGCAAACCAAAAAAACATACAGGTGACATGATGGAAACCAAAGGAAGTAGGACGTACAGGCTGGGGGCTGTAAATCTTAGAAAAGCAAAGCTTAATGGTGTCCAGAATTATATGAAGGTAGCTTAAGCATGAATACTTAAGAAAATGTTAAAGGAAGGAACAAAAAAAAAAAAAGGAAAAAAAGGGGAAAGACCAATAAAGAAAATATTAGAAACCACCAGAAATTAGTAAGTGAGGCAGCATATAAATGAACGGTTAGATGTTTTCAGGATAAACCACCTGCTTGCAACAACTGGGTAGGTTAGTCAGTAAAAGCATCATTAGCCCAGTTTACAGAGGGAAAACCAAGACCCCGTGAAGGGAAGCCAAGTAAGTGCCCAAAACTTCACACTAACTAGTGTGAGAGCAGAGCAGGGACCAGAATCCCCACCCTCGGGCCCCACAGTGGAGGAGGCTCTTTTGATTGCAAACGTTCTTCTCAAAAAGACTTTGGACAAAATGAGATTCAGAGGAATTGGGCAGGAGGTATGGGAAGGAAATTGTTTCAAATGACACTAAGATGCCTGGATAGTATTTGTTCCTCTTCTAACAAAACTGCTCATTCTAATTTTGAATCTGAAACAGGGAGACATTCAATTTTAACATTACATGTTATACTCAACTCAGTTTAATTAAACTAGAAAGATTTAGTGAGACCCTGTTATGCCTGGTGCTCTGGCCCTGGAGAAAGGCAAAAAAGAAAACCGGCCCTGCCCTCAAGGAGTTTACAATCCGGCAGGCAGGTGATAGACTTAAGTAAGAACCAGCAATGATTAGAATCCATGAGAGAGTGACATAGTATGGCAAAAAGAGAAACAGGAGAGACTGAGGAAGAAGACACCACCTCAGGGGAACGGGGAGCTGAGGCAGCATCTAAGTCAGCAGGGAAGAAAGAGAATGATTCCAACAGGCAAACAAGAAAGGCGTTTATCCTGATGGGAATGAATTTCAATATATGATTAAATATTCATCCGTGATTTCCTAATTCCTTTCTAACAACCAAATATCTCTGTATAAACACCTGAAGGACATTCCCTCTACCCAGTAAGTATTCTTTAAATCTCTAGGGTTCTGGAGACCAATGCAGGAGGGAAATGTTAGCTTCACAGGCAAGTAAGGAGAGAGACGAGAGAGAAACAGAGAGAGGGAGAGAGGAAGAAGAAAGAGAGACAGAAGAAGAAAAAGAGAGAGAAGAGAGAAGAAGAGAGAAGAAAAAGAGAAGAAATAGAGGAGAGAAGAGAGAGAAGAAAAAGAGAGAAGAGAGAAGGAGAGAGAGTGCAGACATAGCAGAAACAGCGAAACAGAGTGGGGAGAGTGAGAAAGAAGGACAGAGAAACCGAGGGGGCGGGGGGAGAAGCTGACGGACAGAGGCAGAGAAAGAGAGAGACCAAACAGAATTTTTTTTTGACTCTACATGTGATTTCTGATCCCCTCCCCACACTGCTACCGGCTCCCTCCAACATGATGGTGTATTTTTTTCCTTTGGCTGTATGCTATATATGCTGTCTCCATCATAAAATGCAAGCACCTTGAGGGCAAGGGTGGTTTTGTCTCCCCAATACCTAGCACTCTGCCTGGTACACAGTGGGGGCTTAATAAATGCTTGTTGGATTAAAGTGAAGATTCAGCTCACTTGCTAGGCCCTATGGTAAGCCTTCCCAATCTTCTTAGCTGTTTCCACCCTCTCCCTCCTCATGTCATAACATATTTATTTTCCCAATCTATCAACTGACCTATATTTATTAAGCACCTACTATGTGCCAGCCACAGTGTTAACTCTTAGAATATAAAGGAAGAAATAGTGCCCGGCATTCTTTTTTTTTTTTTTTGGCTGGGCAATGGGGTTAAGTGACTCGCCCAGGGTCACACAGCTAGTAAGTGTCAAGTGTTTGGTCTGAGGCCGGATTTGAACTCAGGTCCTCCTGAATCCAGGGCAGGTGCTCTATCCATTGCGCCACCTAGCTGACCCGTGCCTTGCATTCTGATGGGACACACTACAACCCCATCTGCACACATATATAAATACAAGGTCGCTTTGGAGAGAGAGGCCCTGGCAGCTGGGAGTGGGGGCAGGCAGCGGGGCGGGGTGTGATCCCCAAGGGCTTCATGTCAGTGCTTGAGCTGTCTCTCGAAGAGAGGTGTTCTCCAGGGCAAAGGTGAGGAAGGAGGGCATTCCAGGCATGAGGGAGAGCCAGGGCAAAGGCATGATGGCAGGAGATTAGGGTCATGCATGGGGAAGAGAGAGAAAGGCAAAGGACGGGTGGAGAGCAGCGTCCACTGACTGGGTGCTTGTGAAGGGCCTTGAAAGCCAAGCAGGGGAGTTTCTGGGGAATCATTTCCATGTGGTAAGCCCACCTCCCCCCCAAAACACAAACTCCCCGAGGGCAGGGATGGCTCTGCCTCTGGGTTGGCTGTGCTCCCTGCTTGGCCCAGGAGCCACTGAATGACGGGGTGAGAGGATGGGAGCGGGGGGTGCCCCCAAGTCCCCAAACAGTCCTCCTGCAGCCTGAGGCGCCAGGGAGGAAAGGCTGGAGGCTTTGGGGGAAACAAACCAAAAGCTTGTCTGTGTCGGTGACTCAGGAAAGAAGCTCTGGAGCCCCCACGGCCCCCGCGGCCCCCGCCCCCAGCCACACTTGTTCCATGTTAAAGCTCACCTTTGGCAAAGGTTTCTGGAAGGCCTGCATGGCCAGGAGGAGGGGGGCTGCTGTGGTCCAATTGTAGTATCTGAGACAGAGGAAACGGGTGGTGGTGAGACCCCTAAATGCCAGGGCCCAACACCCCTCCCCCGGCTGGTGGGGGGGGCCTCACTCACCCCCCTTGCGCTAGTGCCTTACCCTTGAGACTGCCCCTTATTTATCCTGGAGAGGGGGAGGGGCGGGGAGGGGAGGGGATCCATGCCGATAAGATTGTCTTTCTTCCTGTTCTCAGTACTGGTTACTATTGTGTCTGGTACATAGGAGGCGCTTAATAAATCCTTCCTTCAGAGCACACAGTAGGTGCTTAATAAATGCTTGTGGTTTAATTGATGGACTGAGGCACTAAAGAGGCCAGGCTGGCTGGGGCCCCCACAGAGTGTTTCCAGAGGCGAGTGCTTCACGCAGCCTTGCCGAATGACTGCCTGAAGCTGCGTCAGCTCCGTCCCTGTGACCCTGGACATGACCACAGCCCCCTCAAGGGTGTCCAGTGACATTCTGAACAAGGGACAAAAGCAGCAAAAACGTGAACTGAAGCTTGATGCCTAAAGCACCTCCCTTCCTAGCCCATGCAGCTGGCCCAGAGAGGAAGAAGCTCTGGGGAGGGCGGGGGGTGGGGGGGTCCCCGTGCCCAGCATCAGGCCGCGGTCCTCAGCCCCTGACAGCTCTTGCTGGGGGCGCTGTCTCTGTAGCCCCAGCACTCAGCCCAGGCTAAGGGAGTGCAGCCGCCATCAGCGTGGGCCGTTCTGGGGCGTCACATCTGTGTCTGAGGCCGTCAGGCAGAGGGCAGAGAGCACCTACTATGTGCCATTCTCTGGGCTGGGATAACAAGACCAGAATGAAGCACTCCCTGCCCTCGAGGGCCTCAGAGTCCAACAGACCCCAGCTGGGTGACCCCGGGAAGGTCACCTCGAATCTGAGAGGCCGTCCGGGCCAGACCTCCTCAGCCACGGCCATCCTCCAAGGCGGGGGGTCTGGCCTGTCCACGGCAGGACACACACAAAGTCGCCTGACCTCCCTCAGAGCCTCCAGCTTCCCCGGGGAGGCCACAGAAGGGCTGCAATCTGCACCCACAGAAGGCTGGCCCACCCTGGGAACCCTGCCCAGTGCAGGAAGCAGGCTACGGACATAAAACCAAACTGCGGCGGGAGCTCTGGGGCGTCGCCTCCTCCACTACTCGGTCTCAGGGAGCCGTCCAGAACAATCACATGCCAGAGGCGAGATTGGCACCCGGATTCCTCCCGGCTCCAGGGCTGGCTCCCTCCCTACGGGGCCACCTTCCCAGCAGGTGAGTGTGAGCGCACACATGCACAGAGACACGCTTCTGTAAGCGCCCGTGGCTCGAGCTGGGGGCAGGGGCAGGGCAGGAACTCACTTGTTACCGATCTTCACCACCAAGTTGGGGTCATCGATGATGGCCGGGTTGTCCACAAACTGCTGATAGGACACCTCCTGTTCTAAAAACTCATCTGCAGCAGCCGCCGGTGGGGTGGGGAAGAAGGAAAGGCACGTTACTCACCCAGTTACCCCGATCTGCACGACGACATCCCCCTCGCTACAGAGCGTGGGGTTATGGGGGGAAAGACCCAGGTTCGAATCCCAGCTCTGCTTCTCACTGGCTCGATGTGCGGGGGTAGCCGTGTGCCTGGGGGCAGGGCAGTTCACCTCTGTTTGCCTCAGTTTCCTCATCTGTAAAATGGGGATAATCCCAGCACCTCCCTCCCAGGTTGCCGTGAAGCTCTTCACCCAGTGCCCACCACAAAGGGAGGCCATCCAGAGTCAGCGGTTATTACCATCTAGGAAATGGGGACTAATGACCAGAAGCAGCTCACCTCCCTCCCGGATCCCTGGTGAAGAAGAAAGTCCTTTGACAGCCTTCAAACACCACAGAAAAGCTAACCGTTACCATGAGCACAGCGGGGGGCTGGGGACGCCCCTCAGTCCTCGGGCTGCCTGCAGGGTCACCACTGAGCCCTGAATGGGGTCCGGAGGTCACCGAACCCAACCCCCTCCTTTCAGAGGTGAGGCCCAGAGACACTATTTGAACCCAGCTCCTCGGACACCAGGGTCAGTCCTCTACACACTAGACTTGGCTGCTTTAAAGAGACAGTGAGTCCAAATCTCTCACTTTATAGAGGTGGAGAAACTGAGGCAGAGAGAGATGAACCAACTCGGTCACAGTCACACAGCTAGGAAGTAACAGCACCAACCGGGATACGAACCCAGAACCAAGCCGGCACCAGCTCCAGCGGCCTCGGCACTGCGGGACGGCCCCGGGCGATCTCCAAGGTCGTCCCCAGGGTCAGTGTCCGCACAAGCACGGGGTGGTATGCTCGCTCGCTCTGTCTCTGTCTGTCTCTCTCTCTGTCTCTACCTATCTATCTATCTCTCCTCTCTTCTCTCTCTCTATCTCTGTGTCTCTCTTTCTGTCTCTGTCTCGCTCCCCCATCTCTGTCTCTGTCTCTCTTTCTCTCTGTCTCTCACTCTACCTGTTTGTCTCTGTCTCTCTCTCTGTCTCTGTTTGTCTCTCTCTTCCCCCTCCATCTCTCTGTCTTTTTCTCTCTCTGTCTCTCACTCTACCTCTGTCTCTCTCTGTCTCTGTCTCTCTCTCTCTCTGTGTCTCAGTCTGCCCTGTGTCAAACACACACACACACTCACTCGCTCTCGCTCTCGCTCTCTTATAAAACTAACGGGGACCTCAATGGTGACCTCCTATCTGAAAAATGGCCCCCCAATACCCTGAGAGCGACCCCTGGCCCTGACTTGAAACCTCTGAGCAGTCTGTCCCAATTTTGGGGGGCGGGATGTTCGCCCTAACCAGGAGCACCTCGGGGCCCCCCCTCCACAGCACGCCTTGCCAGGCTGGGCGGATCCAGCTCGGGCGGCCGCAGCTCCTGCCGGCAGCCACCAGAGAGCGCCCTCGACTCAAAAACCAGGCCCAGCCGGTCCCTGCCAGGCTCACCCGTGGTGATTTCCTTGCTGTCGCTGAGTCCCCCGCAGAGTGAGATGGCTATGGAGGGCAGGTCCCTGGGGCCGTCCGAGGTGCTCTCCACGCCGCTGTCCACGCCCGAGCTGCCCACCGACTGAGGGGACTGGCTGGCCGAGCGGGGCGCGCCCTCGCTGCCGCTTTTGGCCACGCCACCGCCGTCACCGCTAAGAGGGACAGGAAAGGCGGAGAGGAGCCGTGAGCATCGTCCGGCCCCTGCAGAGCCCAGGACTCGGAAGAGCAGCGGGCATCACCACCCTGGGGGAGGACGCCCTACGCCTCCAGCTCCCGGAGCCTAAGGCTACCGGTCCTGGACGAGTCCCACGTCTCAGACAGCCTCAGTCTCCCCATCTGTAAAATGGAGACCAACAATCCAAACAGATTTGGGATCCAGAACTATTTTCCATGGGGATTTTCCAGGAGAATGGGTATTTAAGTGGGAATCAGAGGCTCTGGGTTCAAATCCTGGCTTTGCTACTTAAAAGCAGCATGGACTCCATGTTATCTGTATGACTTTGGGCACGCCCCATCACCTCTCCGGGTCTCACCATCCTCAGTTTAAGATGAGGGGCTTGAACTTAGCACTGACGTCCACTCCACACCTAGGCTAACGATCCGTGACGCCTTTATTTTAAATCCTGTACGCTGATGCAGAAAAAAACTGGGGGGTGGGAGAGAAGACTCACCCGCTCACTGCTGGGGGGGGCGGGGCTGCGGGGGGGGGGGGGGGTGTTCCCTTGTCACCCAGAAAGCCGCCAGCCCCTCCCCCATCCTCAGCCCGGGGCAAAACCCCTGAGGTCCCAACTTACTTTTTGGGGAAATAAAGGGCAGCGACCTCAGGGTCCATATCAGGCAGATCGTCCAGGTAGACGCCATCCGCTCCCAGGTGCCTGTTCCTCTTGTCTGAAAACACAAGGGAAATGCCAGGCCGGGGCGGGGGCTCCCACGAGGCTGGGGGAGCTCCCACGAGGCCGGGGGGGGATCCCACGAGGCCAGGGGGGGCTCCCAAGAGGCCGGGGGGGCTCCTACAAAGTCAAAGGCTTTCTCAATGCTCCTCGGCCCAGGCCCCGCTCTCCTGCCGCCGGGGGCTCTCCCTGGCCATCTCCCGTGCCTGCGATGTCCTCCCTCTCTGGGCCTGTTCACACAGTTGTTTGAATGCTGTCTCCCCCATGTTTCTGCCTTTCTTTCTAACCTCAGCACTTAGCCCTTTGCCTGGCACATAGTAGGCGCTCATAGTAGGTGCGTGTTGACTAAGACACGTAGAACCTGAGAACCACAGAATGTCCGAATCAGCAGGGACCTTACAGAGCATCAAATGCCAACCCTGGGAGGAAGCGCTGACCGTGAGACTCGGTCTGACCCCAGCATCCGGGGTCACCTCTCTCAGGTCCCTGGCACAGTATAACTGACACTTGTTCTGGGTTCAGATCCCTCCCCTGGCATAGGCTCATGGCTTCAGAGCTGGAAGGGCCCTGAGAGGTCGAGCCCCACCCCCTCATTTTACAGCTGGGGAAACTGAGGCTCGGCGATTTGCCCAAGGTCACACAGGCAGACTTTAAGAAAGAATTCGAACCCAGGTCCCCCTGAGTCCAAAGCCAGTCCTCTATCCTCTATGCCAGAGGTCAGCAAACCGTAGCCTAAGAGTTCAAATCCCGCCTGCAGCCCCCTTCTGTAGGCGACCTAACAACAGTTGTCATGTTTTAAAATATGATAAAAGTTTATTTAAAAACGTAAACCCCATCACTAGCTCATAGCCCTAGAGCGTGCTAACTCAGTGCCACACTGGCTTCCCAAGTCCCTTAGTTCCTCTGAGCCTCAGTTTCTTTCTTTGTAAAATGGGGAGGGGGGATCCAGCCTCTGCGTTCCCTCCAGGTGTCTGATCCCAGTGCACCCTCGCTGGGCCTCAGTTTCTCCATCTGTAAAAGGAAGGTGTTCACTGGCACACTGGCGTGTCACGGGCCGTGCCAGTTCCCGGGCCAAGCTGAGAAGGGGTTGTGTGAGCCATGCCAGAAGCCACGGATCTGGTGCTGGACCCTGCCAAGGTGGTGTGGAAGGGCTGGGGAGCCAGCAGGTGGGCGCTGGGGCGGGGACGGGCGCTGCTCTCTGCCTGACAGAGGGAGCTCCCCCATCAGGTGTTTTCAAGGTGGGGGTGAGGGACCAATCTGGGAGTGCGCCGTACTCCCCCACAGAATGTAGGCTTCCTGAGGCCAGGACAGCTTGGGGTTCTGCCCTCACACAGGAGAAGCTCTTAGGATCAAAGATCCATAGATGTAGAGGTCATCTCAGGCACCGGGGGCACGGCAGCGAGAAAGCCCAATCCTGCCTCACTAGTGCTGTGACCCTGGACAAGTCAACCCATCTCTCTCTTTCCCATCTGCAAAATGGGCATAACGACTCCCAGAGTTGTCTCAAAGTCAAATGGGTTAGCACATGCGAAGCGCTTTGTAAACGTTATAGCGCCAGCCATTATTATTGCCACAGTGACCATACACAGGGATCTGATGGGAGACAGTTGGGAGAAGACCCGTCCCAACAAGATTGTGGTTCTGGGGTCAGAGGACCCGGGTTCAAATCCCACCCTCATGGCTGAAGACATGTGACCATGGGCAAGTCGTGTCCCTACCCCGGGCCTCAGCTTCCTCAACGACTGAGTCCCCTGCCCCGGATCCAGGAATGTGCCCTCCCAGGAAGCGGCACCAAGGGACCGCAGGGTGCACACCGGCAAAGGTCCGCTCTGGCCGGGAGCCAGATACGCCCCCAAAGGAGAAAGGGACAGTGAGGCCCTCCTCCGCCTCCAGGCAGCCTTCCTGCTGCCCACTTCCCATTTGCCAGCTGCAGAGACTGATCGTCAGAGAGAACCAGGGACTATTCAGCCCCCTCCGCCATCCAGCGCCTTGGCCTCTCCGGCCCCGCCTGGCACGGGGGCACCCTCTCTCCTTCCAGACCCCTCCCTGGGCTTAGCTTTTCAGCTCCCTGCTGGACTGTAAGCCCCTGGAGGGCAGCCCCTGGGCTGGATCATCACGGCATTGCTAGCACCTGGCAGGGCACCAGGCCAGTCGAGGAGGGCAAGGATGCCTGCCACCACTAGGGGGAGCTGTTTGCTCGCCGCTCCTTAACCAAGGATGGCCCAGGATCCATCTGAGACGCTCCATCCTTCCCCTGCTTTGCAGGTGATGGGAGTCATTTAATCCCACCTACTCTACCCTCCTACTAAGGGACTCAGCTGCCCTGCGGTCCACGCACTGCCTTAGTCTCCCCTGGAGGTAGTAGCGGGTGCCAATCCCTCACCTCTTTTCCTGGATGGAGAATCCATCTTACTCCCCTGGAGGCTGGAGTTGGGCTGGGGTTGTTTGGACTCCTCGATGGCGGGCAACGGCGGGGCTGCTGTGGCCATGGCTTCCGTGGCTGCTGTGGCTGCGGCTTCCGTGGCTGCTGTGGCCGCCGTGGGGGCCATGGCAGTGGTGGGGGCCGTGGCATTCGTGGTCATGGCGGTCGTGGCCACAGCGGCAGTGGCGCCCAAGACCTCCGGATTTTGTTCCCCCGTGAATGACCCCTTGGGCAGAGCCTTGCCCTCGTCTGGCGGGATCAGGATCTCACTGTGGCCCCCCAAAGGCGAGGGAGAGAGGTCGCTACAAGTCTCTGAAGATTCACTCTTAATAACCCGGAAAAGCATCTTGTCTGAAAAGCTCCTGTTGACTGAGTCTTTCATCCTGTGCAGAGATGTGGTCTAGACGGGCCAGGAGAGGGGAAGAGTGAGCATTACCACAAACAGGCAAAGGTCACACAGAGCCGCCATCGGGGACCCAGTCACCCGGAACCGAGAGGCCGTGGGTTCCAATCCCACCTCCCACACTTCCGAGCTGGCGGCCCAGGTCTAGGCGTGCCATCTCGCTTTGCCTCAGTCTCCCCATCTCTAAAACAAATGGGCCAGACTTGACCTCTGAAGGCTCTCCCAGTCTCATTTTCCTCTTGGGTCCCCTACCATCTACAGTCTTGGGTAGCCTATGGTCACGAGTGACTGACAGGCCACTCCTGGAGCATTGTAGACTGCTGGCTTTCCTCAGGAGAACCACCCCCAGAGTCTGTAAGACAAGGACTCTTAGCTCCAAAGTGCAAACGGGGAAACTGAGGCTCAGGCAGAATTGACGCCCCGGCCAGCATCACTCAGGGAGGACAAGGCAAAGCAAGGAGGCAAACTTAGGTCTTCAGACCACGTGGCACCTCCCCCTTTCAGACTCCTGGAGAGCAGGGACTGGTTTGGGGGGGGGGGGGGGCAGGAATCTTTGTATCTTCAGCTTAGCACAGTACCTGGCACACAGTAGGTGCTTCATAAATGTTTACGGGCTGCTTCCTTATCCACGGCAGAGAGTGTAATTAGTCACTTTACGCTGGGGGTAGGTGGCACAAGATGGGTCCCTCAACAATAACTCTGACCTAACGAGCTCCCTCGGGTCAAAGAACCAAGCCCATCTGGGAAGGAGCTTCAGAAACCCATCGTCCGGGAGCTCCCCGTGTTTACGCTTTGTTCTCGTCTCCGAGACATCAGGCTCAGTTGCTCCTTTGGCTGCTAGAAGTCTGTGGGGGCTCACTCCATTTCTGGTGCCCTGGGACAAAGCTCTGTTGGCCCACCCTAGGTGTGACCCTGCTCTGCTTTCTCTGTAGTGCTTTCAAGAGGCAAGATCCAGTAGGATGCAAACACAAGGGCAGGGACTCTAGGCGGGGAAACCCCTCTACCAGGACAGGTCAGCACTCTCGGCAGCTTATGGTCTCAGAGAGGTGCCCAGAGCACAGAGAGGGTGAGCACCTTCTCCAGGGTCACACAGCCCACGTGGTCTCTCTGGCTTCAAGGCCAGATTCTCCTTTCTGCCAGACAGCCTTTCATTACTTGGGAAAAGTTTGAAAAAGTAGTGCAGCTTCACGAATGGGGGACTGTCCTTGCAAGGAGAGGAGGAAACAAGCATTTAGTAAGCACCTACTGTATGTGCTAAGCACTTTTTACAAATATCATCTCCTCTGATCTTCACAACCACCCTGGGAGGCAGGTGCCCATTTTATAGATGAAGAAGCTGAGGCAGACAGAGGGTCAGTGACTGGCCCAGGGTCACACAGCTAGTGAGTGTCTGAGGTTGGATTTGAACTCAGGTCTTCATGACTCCAGGCCCAGTGCTCTATCCACTGCACCATTCAGCCTGGAATTCGGGAAACACTGAGTTCAAGACCTGCCTCAGACCCTGCGGCTCAGCGGCCATTCTGCACTAAGATGGCGAGTTTACTAATCCAGGAAGTCACAGATTCAGGCTAAAGGGAAAGACTGCCAGGATTCTCAGCTGGAAGGGACCTTTGTGATCATCTTCCATCTGCCCCGGGCCAAGAGACCTGACTCTTCTGGCTGGGGGAGCCCAGGCGGTTCCCCTCCCCTCTCTGAGCCTCAGTTTCCCCATCTGTAAAAGCCTGGGAGGTCACAGCCCAGGCCAGGAGAGGAACTCAGAGCCAGCGCCTTCCTCACGCGGGCTCAGGATGGTGCCACTTTCCCAAGCAGGGACCCCTCCCAATGCTGTCTGAGTAAGTCACAGCTCCTGGGCGCCCTCTGCCCGCTCTGAAAAGGAGGCCTAGGGGAGGGGCTGGGAAGCCGAGCCCTCCGCTGCCGCTGCCATGCCCCATCCGGGCCCTCGCGGAGCATGCCCCAGGACCCACCTTGGCAGCCTGGGGCAGCTCTCCCCACAGCCACAGCATCTCCGGGTTACTCTTCTGCAATCCCCTCTCCAGGGACTTGCTGACCAGTTCTGAATCACTTTTAGGTGTTGCAGGGCGAGAACCTGAAGGACTGGGGAGAAGATGAGGGACAAATGAAGCCCAAATGAAAAACCAGTCAATCAAAAGAAAGGCATGAGCTGGTCTGGCCCAGATCCCTCCTGCCACCGCCCAGTAAACGCACTCAGGCTGCTGCCTCCCTAGGCAGCATGGTGACATTCAGAGCCATAACTAGGGCGGGACGCTCGGGCCTTTGTCCCAGGGCACCAAACTTTGGAGGGAGGGGTTGGGTGATTACTTTAGAGGATGCCCCCAACAGCGCTTCCAGTAATCCAGCAGCATAGAAAGAAGAGCTCAGCTTCTAATTTGAAGCTAACCTTAATGGAGGATGCAACCAGGGGGCGGTGTCGTTCCCCAGCCGTCCCACCCTGCTTTGGTTCAGAAGTCGTTCTGTCCTCTCCTTACGGATGCCCGCCCCTCCCTGCCCGCTGCACCTGGGGCTTTACTTCATGCCACCTGCCCTGGGCCTGCTCTGTGGTATTGCCCCGGCCTCACAAAATCCCAACCCCCGCTCCCCACTCCCTGCGAATGTGAGAGGGGGACTGGGACCGAAGGATGCCCACGAGAAATGAAGGAGGAAGAAGCACAAGGGGAGGAGGAGAGCCCACTGTGGGGGACGCCCCCAGACCCTGCACCCACCTCTACCCAGACTCCCTCACTCTGTGCTCCCTCCAGGCTCCCCGTAGAACCAAGCCAGGGAGGCCCTGGAAAGGCATAAACACCCTTACTCAAGCAGGCCAAAATTGTAATAAAATGTAATAAAAACCGGTCATTTTGATACCATTTAATAGTTTTAATTAAGCTGACTAAATTCTTTTGGAATTGTGAAATTCATAACAACAACAACAGTAATAATAGCTCACATCTATGTAGCACTTTAAGTTTTACAGAACACTTTATAATTACTATCTCCTTCGATTCTCATCCCTCCCTGGGAAGTAGGGGCCACAATTATGCCCATTTTATAGATGAGAAAACTGAGGCTCAGGGAGGCCAAGGGTCACACCGCTAGTAAGAGTCTAACTCGGCTCCTTCAGACTTGAGTCTGGAGCTCTCTCCGAGCCGCCTCTGAATATTCAATCAACGCTTCTTTTCTGCCAAACTGCAGGCCTGACTGCCAGGTTCCGAGTTCCAATTCCTCTCAATCCCTGAGACCTACAGAAGCAGAACCAGTGCAGATGGTGCCTCTCCTCCATAAACTTTAGGACAATCAGAGTCTCCTCAGGGACAGTCAAGCCCAGAGAGTGGGAGAAACTCTGACGTGGAAGGGACTTCACAGGGGCAGACAGGAAACAGGAAGTCCCTCTTAGCACTGGGCTGACACCCCAGCAGTGATGTGTCCCTCACTACCTCCCAGGGCAGCCCGCTTCGATCTGCCATCCGCTTCTCAAGGCCAGCCCCACGGGGTGGAGGTAATTCGAAGTGTAAAAGCAAGCCCTCCCCCACCGCTCTTCATTCTAGCACCTGCCATCCCCTGCATCGGACTGGAAGCTCCCTGAGGGCACCAACTGCTTTTGCCTCTTATCTTATCCCCAGCACGGTGCCTGGCACACAGCAGGTGCTTAATAAATGAATATTAATCGACTGAGAAGAGCGAGCACTGGATTTGGAGAGGGAGGGCTGGGCTGGAATCTTGCCTCCCACGCTCACTAGCTGGGTGACGGCGGGAAAGTAGCTCGATGTCCCTTGTCCTACTTGGCTCCAGCAGGTGGGGGGCTGTGAAGGTGGGAGGGGCATTAAGTGGGCAAAATTAATCTGGCCGTCAGAACTGTCATGGTCCCAAAGTGGAATGAGCTCGGGGCAGGGGAAGGGGAGCCCAGGAGAGGGGAGTGTTTGTGAGGGATGGAGAGGGAAGATTCCTGCTGGTCAACTCTAAGATTCTGCGAGTCTGTGACCCTCCTGGCCTCAGTTTCTCCTCTGTGAAATGGGAATAATAATCCTCTCCCTATCTTCCTCACAAAGCTGCTTGCAAAGGACAAACTATGAAATGCAAGTCAGTATCTCTAGCTAGGGCTCTACAATCCACATCCTCTAAGGCTACTTAAGATAAAAATGGGAGCTGGCTAGCGGTGTCTTTGTAAGTTGATCAGATTTGTTTGGGCTAAAAATTAACATTAGACCAAATCTGCATGCCATTAATTTATTATATTAAGTTAGGTCCCAAAACCAGACACCGAGTTAAGTAAGGTTAGACACGGAATTAGACTTGGAATTAGAAATCTGCACACCATCCCTCTGTCCTATCAAGCCAGGCCCCCAATTAGAGAAAACACAGCCTTTACCTTTCCGAAGACTGGAAATGGGAAGATGGTGGAGGGCAAGAGCTAGAAAGGCCTCCTTCCGCCACAACCGTAAGACGAGGGGACATCCTTTTGCAATCTACCGGCTTACTGGATCCCACCAGATATGGGGAAAGAAAGAAAGCAAAGTCGAGCGTCAGTGAAACGAAGCGGTAGGTAACTCGAGTTGGTGACGCGGGCACTCTCCAGGCACCGAGTTGCCGAGGCATCCGACACACGGAGGGGAATATGATGTCTGCAGCCACCGAGATGAAGCGACAGTTCTTATGTGCGATCTGCTCATTCTCTACGTTCTAGAGCAAGGCTTCTTAACCTGGACCCGTGAACAATTTTTAAAAATTTTGATAACTATTCGATATCATTCGCTCCTTTTGTAATCCTACATATTTTACTTCATGAATTTAAAGACACTATTCTAAGGAGTCCATAGGCTTCACCTGATGGCCAAAGGCCAAAAAAGGTTAGGAACCCCTACTCTAGGAGCAGATCATCTAAGAGGGTCAAGCCCCCGAGGCATCTGCCTCCAGAAGTAGGTATGTGGTGTCAATAGTCACGGAAATGAAGCCATACTTCTTGGTTAGGTCTGAGAGTTTTCTGGAGCAGAGGGTTTAAGAAGATCAAGCTCTCTGGGCATCTGGCCCTGGGGGCAGGGGGTAGGCGAGAAAATCAACCACAGGGACTAGCCTGGAGCTTCACTTCACACGCAAAGGGTCCATTTCATTGATGACTTCTACAAAACGAGGAAACAAAGCAACACGCCCCAATGATGGCATGACTGATGGGGCCAATGGACCTTACTTTTTTTTTTTTTTTTAATTTTTAACAAGTGTTTTTAAAACTTCGGGTTACAAATTTTCTCCCCTTCTCCCTCCCCACCCACCTTCATTGAAAAGGCAAGCATCTCAGTACAGGTTATAGATGTATAGTCATGCAAAACCGTTCCATAGTAATCCTGTTGTGAAAAACTAAGTATATTTCCCTTCATCCTATCCCACCCTCCATTTATTCTATTCTCTCTTTTGACCCTGTCCTTCCTCAGAAGTGTTTGCTTTTGATTATCCCCTCCCCCAATCTGCCCTCCCCTCTATCAAACCCCTGCTCTCTTGTCCCCATCCCCCCTCATTTTCCTATAGGGTAAGATAGATTTCTGTAACCCATTGTGTATGTTATTCCCTCCTTAAGCTAAATCCTATGAGAATAAGATTCACTCATTCTCTCTCACCTTCCCCCATTTCCCCTCCACTGTAAAAGCCTTTTCTTGTCTGTTTCATGTGAGATATTTTACCTCATTCCACTTCTCCCTTTCTCCTTCTCCCAGTATAATCCTCTCTCGCCCCTTAATTTTATTTTCCAGATATCACCCCCCTTCATCTTCAACTCACCCTGTGCCCTCTATCTATCTATACATACATATAATTTTTTTCCCTCCCACTACCCTAATGCTGACAAAGGACTCATGAGTTACAAATATCGTCTTTCCATGCAGGAATGTAAACAGTTCAACCTTAATAAGTCTGTTATGCTTTCTCTTTCCTGTTTACCTCTTCCATGTTTCACTTGAGTCTTGTATTTGAAGGTCAAATTTTCTATTCAGCTCTGGTCTTTTCCTCAGGAATGCTTGAAAATCCCCTATTTCATTGAATGACCATTTTTTACCCTGAAGGATTATACTCAGTTTTGCTGGGTCCAACAGACCTTTCTTTAAAGAGATAGTGCACGATTTCAGGAATGGGCATGTTCTCTATTGGCCAAAGTAAACAAGTCAGAGATTCTGTGGTTTTTGTCCTGCAGGCACCAGACTGATACAAATCAGAGGTGCTCTCTACGCTTCTTGAGAATTTGGGGACCTTTTCTTAAATGAATGTGGTAAATCCTCTGGTGAAGGCAGCTGAATGTGTGCCCCCTCTGTTGCTGGGCTATGCTCACAGCCTCTCAGGCTTGGCGATGACCACCAGAAGCCAGGGCTTCCCTGCACTCTGGAGAGGCATCAAGAGGGACATCAGGGAAAGAGCTCCCACACACTGAGCCTTCGTCTCTAACTTCCTTTGGTCGCTGCCTAATCCACAGAATCTGCTGCGTGCATTCCAGTTTTTGTGGAAAAGGGGCAAGGCATGTTGAGGAGGACATGTCGTTTTCAAAACAGCTTTTCTAAAACCAGTTTTAAAGCACGGTACAGTTGAAAGGACAATGGGTTTGGAATTAAGAGGACCTGGGTTCAAATCCCCTATGTGATGCTGGCGACCTGTGTCACTGACCAGTCATTTAGCCAATGTGGGCCTCAGTTTCCTCCTCTGCTTCTAGCTCTGGATTCCCTGATGAAACATCAAAATTATCCTAGGACATGAAAACATCTTAAAGTTGGAAATCATTTCCATGAGAGGCAGGAAAGTTCAGTGCATGGAGGGGGCCTCTGAGCCAGCGAGACCTGGATTCCGTTCCCATGGCTGACCCATCCCTGCTGTGTGACCCCAGGGCAGGAGCTGAACCTCTCACGTCCCAGGCAACTCTTGAAGACCATAAGCTGTAGAACGCTGAGCCGTCTTCGTCGCTGGAGGGAGCTTCCAGTATGGACAAAGTAAAAGGTCTAGTCTCCAAAATGAAATGACTTCAAAACATTTCACAAACAACTACTACTACTACTACTACTACTGCTACTACTACTACTACTAGTACTACTACTACTACTACTACTACAACCATCTATACAGAACTTTAAGGTTTACAAAGTACTTTACAAATACCATCTCACCGTATCCTCACAACACCCTAGGAAAGTGGGTGCTAGTAGTATCTCCATTTTACAGATGAGGAAACCAAGGCAGACAGGGGTTAAGTGACTTGCCCAGGGTCACGAGGGTGCAAGATAAGATTTGACCTCAGGAATTTCCTGATTTCAGGCCTCCAGCTCTATCCACTTTGTCATTTCTCCCTCCCAATACACCTAGCCTGCCCAGACCTGGGCAGAAGGGGTCTCAAAGCCATGTGCAAAGGCCAGGGGCTGGTCCATCAGGGACGAATGGCCCGTTGGGATCACCAGCTTTTACTCACAGCCACCTGGCTGGACACCACCCTGATGGCCCAGCAGCAGCATGGGCTGGACAGGTCATCACTCTCATATCACCCAAGGCAGCCACAGCCCATTGGAAGGGACATTGCTGCCCATCTGTATGAGGCCAACTAAGCATAAGTTCGAACTTTTGCAAACAGAGAAAGGCTGGTTTAAACCAGGGAGGCAGCACAACATGGCGGGAAGGACCCCAGCTGGGGAGCCAGAGGCCCAGGTGCTAACAACCACCTCTGAATACTGGGGCAAACCACTTTCTCTTCTAGCCTCGGTTTCCTTCTTTGTTAGAGAACAAGACGGACTAGATGAGATAAAGACTGAGGAAACCAAGTCCTAAGTGGCCTGTTCACCTGACATCTCTGAGCCTGTTTCCTCTCCTGTAAAATAGGGCTGCGAGAGCACCCGTATCACAGTTTTTGTGAGCTAACACATGCACAAGGGGGTAGGGGGCTACTAGGCCCTGGAGCCAGGAGGACCTGAATTCAAAGCCTGCCTCAGACACTAGACACTTACTAGCTGTGTGACCTTAGGCAAGTCACTTAACCCCGACTGCCTAGTAAATAATAAATGAAGGAGCCTCAGGCTTCTATGGAAGCCTGGAGAGGTGGCCTCTGTTTAGCCCCACCTCCTTTTCTTCTTCCTTAAAGGCCCTGAGGTGCCCATCTCATCTCCCCATTTACTCCTCTCAGACTTTGTAGGGGACCTTAGTGCCAGGAAGAAGTTCGGCATCCCTGCGCCTTCCAACAAGGAGAGGCAGCAGGAGCTGCTGGAAGCAGGAGCGGGCTGGTCAATGCCCAAAGAGATTCACTTTGGAAGATTCAAAATGGCGGAGACCTTGAGAGGAAAGGGCGGCAGCCATCCCCCTGCGCCTGCCGAGGCCCCAGAGATTCATGGGCTCCCTGGAGAAGGTCAAGAAAGACTCCAGCAACATGTTACCTCTGGTCAGGCAACCACTCTTGATCTGAATTAGCGTAACATGGCGACTGCGGGAAAGTGGCGATGGGAGAAGGGTTTTTCTGAGGTACTTCGTCTCTAAATGCAGGTCCGTCACGAATAAGTGTTCTGAAAATTTCTTAAAAATAATAAAGTCCACTCATAGGAGCACCAAAAGATTATTTCTATTGTTGTTGTTGTGGGGACTCCTTTTTTTAAACATCCATTTCCTGAATGTGAGGCATGAAAAATGAAGGGATGGATCCACCCGTCCGTGCAGGACCGGAGAAGAAGGCTGGAGAAGAAGGTTGCTCGTCCCCTGAGGACAGTGAGGTGTAAGGGACGGGCAGCCCCAAGGAGACCCATGAATGAGGCCTATGGTTCAAATCCAGGCTCTGCTCCCCAAATCCTGCTTTGGATGATGACTACTACTACCTGTGTGACTTTGGGCATGTCCTGGGCCTCAGTTTCCTCATCTGTGGCAAGAAGGGGGTTGGGCTGAATGGCCCCTAAGGTCCCTCCCAGCTCCAGATCCAGGAGTCTCTGAATGGGCTGCCCAAGGAAGTAGTGAGTTCTCCGTCCCTAGAGGTCTTTCAAGAAAAGGCCCAAAGCCCACTTCTCAGGTGTGTGCTGGAGTGAATTCTTGGTCAGGTTAGGGCTGGGTCACACTGAGGTCCCTTACAGCCTGGAAAGGCCGCGATTCTGTGACTGAGAAAATCACTTAACCTCTTCAAACAGATTCTCAGGAGACTTTTTAAGAAAGATTCTCTCCCGCACGCTCCATCTGGTCTCAGTCTCCCAATCTGCAGACGGAATGAAGAGACTGCATGGACCCCACAGCCCCGCCGGGCTCTCAATCTGGTGACCGATGGGAATTACACTAAGTGAGGTGTGGATCGACATGGGCAACGTCGGTGGAGGGAGAGCAGACCTCAAGCCCTGGGCGCCAGAGAGGGTCACCCACTTTGCCGGTCATCCACCATCGTCTTCTTCCTGAGACCACAGGGCAGGCCAGTCCCAGGCACGAGGGAGGAGGGAGTCACACAGAGCCAGAGAGGGCACACGTGACCGAAAACTGGAAGGGGCAGCTTTTCTGGTGTATTTGAACAGCAATTAGAATGACCGTCATTTCCGTAATGACCATTTTTTAAAACTCTCCATGTATGCAAACACCTGAGCATTTCTTCCTCGCCATAAGGACTCTTTCCGTCCCACACAATGTCCCATTCCAACCTTTCTCATAAATTCTGTTACGCGGGATGGCTCTCTAGCATACAAGGGAAAATTGTGGTCATGCACAAACATGAGACATCAACAAAAATTTGTTTCTCAAAAGAACAAGGCTTTATGGGAAACTCTGTTGCTCCATGCTGGTGACGTGAGATCTCACCAGTGATCACACCTTTTCAGCTTCCTAGATGGGGCCCTGTCTACTCCAGAGGGAGAAAATCCAAAGAAGGGAAAGAATTCCTATGAGATTGAGAGGCAGGAGGGGCCTGAGAAACCATCAGCCTCCTCTTTAGCAGATGAAGAAAAAACTAAAACTCTGAGAAAAGTAACTTGTCCAAACTCACAATGCTGCTTGTGAAAGATGCGGGTCTTGAACCCAGGCCTCTGCCCTCCTTCCTGCCCCGGGCTTCTCCATGCTACCTTTTGGGTCCAACAAGTACAAAATGAATAGAAAGTGCTTTGTAAACCTGAGTGAGGGGGAAATTTGAGTTACAGAGGCAGCCGGGAATCAGAAAACCACTGGCAAGCTGTTTCTTCTCTCCCAGCCTCAGTTTCCTCATCTTTAAAATGGGAAAAACAGATAACATGACACCTCCCCCCAGTGTCAAGAGGGAAGCATTTTGTAAATTTAAGGAGTTTAAAGACATGGAAGCACATTATCGTCATCAAATGGCCTCTGTGGGCAGCATCCATGTGAACTCTGATAACAAAGAAGTGTGAAATAAAGGGCAGCATGTGAGGGTTTGCTTATGGAAATGTCGGTGGGCAGGACTGGGTCATCATCCCCGAAAATTACCAGAGGCTTAACCTTCGGGAGCCTGGGCTTAGTGACCAATGTAAATTAGGCAGGGACACACTGTCACCACGAGACATATCACCACAGGCTGCAAACACTGAACACCTACTGCATACCCGGAAAGACATCGCCACGTGGCCAGAATTCTGTCTCTCATCAATGTGGAGACAAGTCTCCACACTCTTACCACAGACGTGCCAAATATCCTTGAGACGCCAGCCTCTTATCCCAGACCCACCCAGGCTAACCAGGGCTGCAGCAGAAGAAATCGACGCCACGTGGGTGAAAGAATCCGCTCTGAATCATGCCGGTCCAGGCCCGTTTGGCGCTGCCCAGGCCTCAGCCTGCCAAAGAGTGGGCACGTCCTTGTCCACCCACCGCAGGTGGACCCGTCCTCACCACACAGCAGGAAGGCGACCCGCCCCAGGCCCGTGGAGTCTCTCTGGACTCCACCAAGGACCATTCATCTGTTTTATGGAAACAGGGCCCGGCACCAACCAAACACACACAAATCCTGAAAGCCTCTTTGTCCTTTGTCTCAGAAACAGAAAAGGAGAAACAAAGGCGTGACGCGGGCCACGAGGATTTCAGCAGTCTCAGACGGACCGAGGCCCGGTCTGACACCGAAGCCACCATGGGACCGCCCTGAGCCTGTTTCCTCGTCTGTGAAACACCACCGGCAAAGGCGACTCCATAAGGTTGTTGTGAAGAAAGGACAAAATGCAGAACTTGGAGTCAGGAAGACCCAAGCTCAAGTTCGCCCTCTAACCATCCTTCTCAGCCTCGGCTTTCTCATACATAAAATGGGAATGATAAGAGTCCCTACTTCACAGGGACTTGGGATAACATACGTAAATCCCTTTAAAGGGCTCCATAAATACAAGCCATTACGCGTTTCTGGACCAGACTCATGATTTAACAGCATCTCTCAGCGAGGAATTCCTTAACCAGAAGAGACGGCTTCTGCTCTGCTCTTCACAGTCCTGGAGAGCTGTCTGTGATATTAAGGGGCAGAACCGACCAGGATCACATAGCCAATTGCGTCAGGGGCAGGGACTCGAGCTCAGGTCTTTCCGACGGCAAGGCCGGCCAGAGACGGATAACTGCACGCCACCTCCCACAGAAAGCACTTGTTGAACGATTAACAGTCCACACCGCTTCCAGCTTGAGGATCAAGCCCCTCACCCCCCATTGTTATCAGAGGAGAAGTCAGGGCTCGGTGCTGCTCTTGTCTAATTCCGCCAAGAACACGCTCAGTCACCCTCACTCCGACTATTACTTACCTAGCAGTATCTAATGGCTCCAAGTCCTCATCGGAGCTCATCTCGATGGGAAACAGGTCCTCCTCTTCCGAAGTGTGGACGCTGTCGTCTCGTTTGAGGTTGTCCAGCTGACACTTTCTCCTTCTCTTCCTCCTCTTCTTCCCAGACACGCCTGTGGACAGCATCTCGTTCACCGCCTGCGCCTGCGCAGAGCTGCAGGGTTCCAGGTTTCTGCCCCGCTCCAGGGCGTTGCGCTTGAGCTGGGTCTCCATGTGCGTGGAGCCCTCCGACAAGATGGGGGACGTCGCCAGGTGCGAGGGAATCACCTCCTGCAGGAGAGGAAGGCAGGATGGACGGGGGAAACATCCTCTGCTAGGATCAGGGCCTGGAGGGGCCTCACCGGACTCCTTCGCCCTAAGGATGGGAGTCACTCACCCTTGGTCACAAAGGTAGCAAGGGCAGGGGATAGGGGTGGGATTTGAACCCATTCAGGAATCCCGGGCTTCCCAATGTGGTTGGACAATGCTGGCCCAGGAAAAGAATAGCAGCAAAATTTTATCAAAGGCCACTATGGACTGAGAACCCAACAGTCCTGAGAGTGTGTAGACAGGACACCTCACTGCATTTATTGGGTAGACATAGGGTCAGAACCTGCGATTTTTTTTTAACTTGGGATGTTCAATGAGAAACAGCTAATTTGAAAGAGAGGAAAACCCTCAGTTTTCCCTTGAAATATTCATAAAACATAATAAATTTGTAAATTGAAATATTTATAAAATTGAAAAGAAAATGGGTTCTCAATACTTAGATCACCTTAAGATCAAAGTATTTACTGAGTAAGCGCTAGAAGGAGGCCATCTATCCCCACACCTTTATTTTACAGATGAGGAAACTAAGGCCCAGGGAGGGAGATTTGAATTGCTTAAGGCCACATCACAATAAAGTTAACAGGGGGAAGATTTGAACCCGGGTCATCTAACTCCAAACCAAGCTCCCTTTCCACCCCTCTCCGTACCCCTCTATTCCACCCCTCTCCATACCCCTCTACTCCACCCTGCTCTGCACCCCTCTACTCCACCCCGCTCTGTACCCCCTATTCCACCCTGCTCTG